TATTTCTTTCTTCATATTGAAGATCAGGCGGTGTCGGTCTAGGGTACCAATTTTTGGTAAGACTAGTTGGGTTGACACGTCTATTAACTCAACGATTAATTTCTGTATTAGAAAAAACATGTTTAATTTGTTGAATATCAGAGGGGTAACTGGAGGTAGAAGAAAGACTATCAGAATCATCAGTATTGTTGATGACAGTGAGTGTTTTATCTTCTTTAATGGCTTTGCCTTTCTCCATGGTTTTGAGAAGAGTCTCAATCTGGAGAATGATAGAAGGATCAGGAAGGGCTTTGGGAAGGCCTTTTCTTTGTGTAGGCATAGAAATAATTGGTGACTCCAGTGGAATGGAAATGACAGGAGGAATGGGAGACTAAGTGAGGGAAAACTCAATTTTGTCAAGTTGAGTCCCAATAGTATGTAAATATTGATTAGTAAAATTATTTTGTTCAATGATTTCTCTTGTGTCGTTATCAGTGACTGTGGTAGCAACTTTTAAAAGGGAGGCAGGAATTTCTGTTCCCATATGATCTAGAACGACAGAGTCTAGGGGAGGATGGGAAGAGAAAATTACTGATTTATCTGATTTTTTCTACTTGACTTTAGTTAACACATTAACTTGATTATAACAGTTTTCTAGATAATCAAAAATTTTGATTTCTAGCTGATTATCTGTCATAAATTTTTGCCAATGACAGAGGATTCTTTGTTGTTCCTTCTCAGTATGATTTTTCCGAATTTTTTTTTCTTTTTTCTTTGTTTGGCTGAGAGGAATATTCATCATGTAACTTGGGGAGATTATATTTAAAAGGTTTACTAATAGTGTTTAACGAAGGATCAACTGGGTTGATGTTACCAATGAAATCTGAAGGTGTAGGTGAATTAGGTGCAGATTGAGACTTGGTTGGAGGAGTCTGTTCGTAACAAGGATGACTAATTTGTTCTTCAATGTGAATGCCTTTTAACTTAAGATCTTTGAACTGGGATTAAGTCTTGAATTTTTTCTGTCAAGAGGAGGAACTGAGTTACTATCTTTGTCATGATCTAGTCTGGAGGAAGTAGAAGGACGAGAACGGGTTAGAAGGCGTTATTCATCAAAGCTTATTCTAACTGTTCCGTCAATATATTCCTGGACTCTATCAAGACTACATATATCATTTTGTATTTTTAATGGATGATTTCATTCTCAAGAAACCACTCATTTGGTAAATAAATGTCTTTCCAAGCAATAGTTTTTTTGAGTTGAATATTAGCATCAGCAGAACTACTTTCAATTAATAGAGTATGGCCCTTAGCATCTTTTTTTATGGCTTTAATGTTGAGATTTGTTCCTCTTGTTTTATAATAAATTCGGTAGATAAGACCTAGGGATTGTGAACCAGGGAGCATTTTGTAACCAGAAGTTTTAATATTAAGGGTTAAGGCTTTTAATAAATGAGGATCAGTGAGGCTGAGGGTTAGATCAGGGTAGCAATTAAAATGAACTGGACCACTACAGAGACTGGTTTCGACTATTCCTAGGAGATTATCATCATATTCTAGGAATCTAGCATCACGAAGGGCTAAAAGTACTGAGGCATTGAGACCAGCACTACCAAATGGATTAATGGCCACTTGAACTAATCCTATGTGAATAAAATTGGATCCACGATCTTTATGTTTCTTAATTGCTTTACTAGTGAGTAACTGGCATTTTTCATGTTCTCTAGATAAGGAGTAGATTTGTTCTACTGTTTTAACTGTGTAGTCACTAAGAAAGGTTGACTTGAAGAAACTGGTTTTGTAGATTTATCTGGTTGGAATACGAAGAATACTCCAATCACTAAAATCTAAACTAATATCTTCAACCTGGTATTCTTCTTCATTAACTATGTTTGGAATAGGAGGTAGACTAGTTCTGGATCTAGAACTCATTGAAGAGGAAGATCTGAATAACCTATTCATGGTTTCTTATCTCGGACGACTTGTGATTGGATGACTGAATAAAGCATACTGTTTTCATGACTCTCTCAAAGCAATATATAATTCCTATCCACGCGTTCATCCGCTCATGCCGTCCCGCTCAGGCCTCTTTTGGGTCTTACTGTTTGGCTCGGGTCTTATTGTTCGAATCTGGACTTATAGGAATAAGAGTACAACGATGTAAGAATCAATAAACAGAATGAGTTAAACAGGGCAAACAATCAAAGTAAGTAGGAGAGAAGACACAGAATAAATTATACAAATATATATATATATAGTAATATTTATGGGAGAAACATTCACACACACACAGAACACGAAATAGAGAGAGAAAATGCTTTTCATTACAATGTGTCTCCAAATGGTAATACACATGGCCTATATACATGGCCTTATACAGGCTTGGATTTTGGCTTCCACTGTAAGGCTCAAATGGAGCTTCCACTATAAGACTCCATTGTGATCTTATGGATGACACAAGACATTTGGGGGACCCCACACACATTTATGAGATATATATAACAGATTTGAATTTTTTGAGATTTCAGTTACCTATTTTTATTTTTTTTCCGTACCAACACTATTAAACAAATAAATAAATAAATTCCAATATCAGTGTACGTTTTCGAAGTTTGGAGTAGATTTGTTTTATTTAGTTTGTACTTTATTTTGGTTTTTTTTTTTTTTTTTCTTCCTATTTTTACCTTTACTTTTCTTTAATACTTTAATTTTTAATTTTAATTTTCTTTTTTATCTTTACTTGTCCATTGTCAGCATTCTCCAATAGTATCATTTTTTGTCATTTTACAAAATTATTTATTTTTATATATTTTATAAAATGGTTCCAGTTTTGTAATTTAGTCACCTTATGATTTTAATTTATCAAAGGGATCTATTTGCACCAAATTAAAACTTTAAGAGTGTTTTCTGCAGTTGACCCCAATTATTATACAGATTTATCAATTCAGTTGAGATATTCTCACTTTTTATGATAATTAAATGGTAAGTTTTAATTATCATATTTGGTGGGAAAAAAACAAAGAGGAAAGAAAATATTTGATGGATCAATTATCAAGTTTTTTTTTTCGTTTCCTTATCAATTATCAAGTTCAACACTTCAAAAGATGTGTCATTCACTGCAAAATTCAAATATTGGTAAGAAAAATCAGCTTATAAATGTCAAATGGCAATTATGGCATGATAAGCGACCCACGAAAAGTTCTTACCCGCTTATAAATGTCAAAAGGTCATCATGAATGCCCATGATAAGTTTTTACAATATCTAAACGTTTTACTGAGCACTATAGTAAAATTGAAATATTACTCACAAATATTTATTTTAAACCAACCACTATTTTAGTATTCCCATAAAATGAAAATATATAAGAAGCGTAATTGAAAACTAACTAACGGTTGGCATAACTCATAAGTGTCTCATAGGAACATATTTTATTACGAAGTATTATTCTGAACTCTTAATTTTCAACTCAAAATAGAAAAACTTTGCCATTGCGATAAGAAATTCTTAAAATATTCTTACTATGTTTTTTCAATTCAGGTTTCTAAATACACTTTTCATAATATAGTAACATCTAATATAATTCACGAAATAAAAAATAACAATATTTTCGTAGGATAAATGAGTGTCTGTATATTATTTATCATGTAAAAAAACACACTAATACGGAGTTAGGAATCTGGGTTAGGAATCTGGATTTTGGGGGCCGGCTTAGTATTATGTAAAAAAATTAAATAATTGTAAGTTTCAAATTTTAAAAAATTAAATTTTTTTTAATACTTTGATTCTATTTTCGCAAATGTATATCATTATTAGCTTGATGAAAGATTTAAAAAAATTAATAAATAATTATAACTAAACAAATCTAAGATAATTAAAATAGATAAATACTTTAGTAATTTATATAATGAGTAGACGAGTAGTTATAGATTTTATTTATTTATTTATAACTACAAATATTAACATATATAATATCATTATTGTTATTGGCATTTTTGCCATCGGGCTCTTACAATACTTTAGTTTTATTTTTCCCCAGGCTCCCAATACTTGTTGATAGAGATTTATATATAATTATAAATAATATAAGCACCATCTTTAGGCTTCGTTTGGTTAAACGGAGATAGTAAGAAAATTTAGAAAATGTAATTTTTTAAACATTTTAGGACTTTGGTAAGCAGGAAAAGGAAAATTTTGAAGAAAATCACTGTCCATAACCACCTAATTTTCCCATAAAGTTTCTTCCAAAAAAACACAAGAAAATTTTGATTTATTGATATAGTTTTGTGAACTTACAATATTGCCCTTTCTTTTATGGTAATTTACATGCTATTTAAACCATAAAATAATAATGAAAAAAAACCATAAAATAATAATTTTACATAATTTTCTTGCAAATTTTTAGTACTAACTAATTTGACTTGAAAACTTAATTTTCCTTTATGTCACTTCACTTAAGACGAGGGACATTGGTATAATTTCTTCTTCTTCTCTCATAAATTCATATAATGAATATTATACATGTCTATATGCAAATGAACTCATATATATATATTTATTATTATTATTATTATTATTATTATTATTATTATTTTTGTGAAGGGATTGCAATAATAATGAACTTACATTTTTATTTCACAAGATTTAAGTTTTCAAAAGTAAGGCTAAAAGATTGCAAGTTGATATTGTATGAGTTTAAAGGAGAAATAGGTTAAATTTATTTTCATTCTCTATTTTTGGACCAATAAATAAATGTTTTGAAAATATTTTGGGGGCCAAATTAAAATTTATTATGAATTTTGGGATAATAAATTAAGTTTATTTATAATATAATTATTTTGGGGGCTACAAAAAAAATATTGAAAATTTTTGGGGGCATAGCTCCGCTGCTGACCACTTTGCGGTCGGTGTTGGCATTTGTAATTTTTATTTTTTTATAAAAATTATAATTTTAATTTTTTGAAAAGAAGAACTGAAAAGTGAAATATAAAAAACTCAGCTCTGCCACACGTGTCACTATTGTTCTGTTCAACGCTCTGAGCGATATGTACCGTAATCTAGTCCTTCTCCTTCATTCACCTCCAAGTCCCACCTCTCTCCGTCTCTCTCTGTGTTTACATTTTCCGCATTAATCGCAATAATCATCCAACTCACAGATCCAAATACGGAAACACCTGTCAATATTTCAATAATATACGTATAAATATATATATATACGTACACACGTATATATAAGGTTAAGATTATGAACGACAGTGATGACGAAGACGAGCTTCTTCAGATCGCACTGAAAGAACAAGCTCAGCGAGATCTCAATTACAAAAAACCGTCGAAGCCGGTGGCGAATTACGTACGACCGCCGCAGACGGCGAATCAGAGGAGTTCCGCGCCTAAAAACCCTACATCGACCGCTTCCCAGATGCAGAAGCCTCAGCGACGTCGTCCGGTGGACGATGACGACGATTCGGAGGTGGAGATGCTCAGTATTTCCTCCGGCGATGAGGATTCGGCGAGGGACAGAGCGCTCGGGTCCAGGAATCGGGCACCGAGAGGTGGGAGGGACGATGATAGAAGCTGGGATGGGGGCGAGCCTGATTGTTGGAAGCGAGTCGACGAATCTGAGGTGTGTGTATATATATCTATCTAAATATTTTCATGTTTGATTGTTAATTTTGTTGAATTTCGGTGATTGATTGGATTTCGTTGTGGTCGTGGAATTTTAATTGGAGGTGAAGAGGAACTTAACTTAGTTATATAGGCGTAATTTGAACTTTAGTTGTATTTTGCTTTTGTAACCTAGATTATTTTCTCGAGATTCAAATATTTTTGATGTTTTAAATAGCATTGGAAGGTGAGTTCTTAAAAATTTTAATTTTGTAGGTAGATTAGTCCACGAAGCTTATAATGATTTGGAAAAAGTACTGGGTTGGAAGTTGGAACTAGTATGCCCCTATCTGCAGCTCGGTATGTTTTGGTTAATGTTGAATAAAATGATAAATTGCCAGTAGCGTGAAGCAAGTCAATATCTAAATGATTGTAGAGAACTAGCTTTTAGATAGGCAGTTGTACCATTTCTAATTTTGGTATCTCTTTTATAATACAAATAAGATTTCATCATCAATTTTGTATTTTCAAAAATATTTTTAATTTCTAAATCATGAAGTTAAGAAAAACAAAGGTCTACTCTGCGGAGTATGCAGATAAAATCTGTACTACATACAGCATGGAATCCTTACTGGTTTTGAGTAGAAACTGTTGAACATAATCCAAGAGTAGCTCTTGGTTTATAAAACTTACTGGTTTTCTCTTGACTCCAGTCATTTACAGTAACTTGCATTCCAACCTGACTCGCAATAGGCAATATTAGAAAATGGAAGGAGTATTGTAGGCAATATATGGGTAGTTCTTGTCTCCTCTGTGATATATAGATTATTTGACCTCAGCTTAAGTTCTTCTATTCTTAGCAGCTCCTGTCTCTGAACCCTTCCTGTGTTTGAGTAGTTTTAACTACTGGTGGGCAGACATAAATCATAAAGTAATGGTCCAAACATAGTAGGTTTTTAGTACTTACAAAAAAAAAAAAACAAAAGGTTTTAAATATTCTACCTATTTCAAATGATGTACTCTAAAGTTACATAATCATGCTTGCACGATTTATCATTATTAAATTTCATTCACGTGACTTTAACTGTTATTTCTTTTTAATATTTATGGATTATGCAATTTATTAAGGTTATGTATTTTGGCAGCTTTCTCGTAGGGTCCGTGATATGCGGGAGACAAGAGTTGTTCCAGTGGTTCAAAAGTTCGAGCAGAAGCCATCAGCAATTGCTAGAAAGGGTCTTAAGAATTTACAATCCCTTCCTCGTGGCATGGAATTTGTAGATCCGCTAGGATTGGGGTAAACTCCTCTTCTACTGTTAGTGCCTGTTTTGGAAAGAAAATGCTCATATATACTCCTTGCTTTGGTAATTAAGAAACTCAGCTCATTTGCAACTTGGAACTGTTCATCAAGATACTTTCAGTTACCCATTGTTGCCTTACAGACCCCACTTGCTGGTTTCTTCAATTATTTCTATTTTGCTGGAGTTGCGTCCATATTCTAAAAATTTGAGTTTATACCGTCTTTCTTATGTTGGAAAATCTTACTTTCTGGTTCTCCTTTCATGCTGGGAACCTGCGCATTTTACTGCCCTGATAACAACCATAAGGTTTTAATTTCAGGCAAATAGATATTGTAATGCTTTTCCCAGTGCAAGATGAAGTCCATTATCATGTTTTGCTTGTTTCTTGAATTGTTCATTGTCTTGTTATCATCTCTGTTAACCTAAGTTTATGTTACATTTTTTGTTGTTGATAATTCTATGTTTATGTTACTTTTGTTGTTGTTGATAATTCTATGTTTATGTTACTTTGACAGGGTAATAAATAACAGGACATTAAGGTTGATCACAGAGCATCCAGAAACTTCTCCATCCAACTTTGAAAAAGATCATATCGATTCTAACGTTCGCGGTACTCATATCTCTTATTATATTATTGTTTACAAGAATGTTCTTGCTTGATTTTCTTTCTTTCTGTTGGTTCTTAAAATGAGTGCTGCACATAGGCTTTGTTGGCATCCTAAATGGTCGGAAAATCTTGAAATATAAGTTTGGGGTTGCAATGGCCAACTAGTCCTTGGATGTAAAATTGAGTGGTCAATTTGGCTGAAACATTTTCTACATGGACATTGCAGAGAAGTTGACGTATTTCTCTGAGAAATTTGACGCAAAGCTGTTTCTATCTCGAGTACACCACAATACAAGCGCAGCAGACTTGGAGGCTGGTGCTCTTGCTTTAAAAACTGATCTCAAAGGACGGACTCAACAGAAAAAACAATTGGTCAAAGAAAATTTTGATTGCTTTGTCTCTTGCAAAACAACCATTGATGGTAAGCCATCCTCTCACAAGACATTTAATTCTGGAGCTAGCTTTGTACTTTGGCATGTGGGCCTTCATTTTTTGAATCAATTCTATGATTATAATTTTTTGAATCAATACTTACAAAACCTTTACTTGAAGTTGTTGGCAAAAAAATGGGCTGTTTTTGATTTTGATGAGGAGAGATGTTCATTATTGTACAGATATTGAGTCAAAATTGAAACGGATTGAAGAAGATCCTGAAGGTGCTGGAACCTCTCACTTGTTTGATTGCATTCAAGGAGTCAGTTCACTAGCTAATCGGGCTTTTGGGCCTCTATTTGAGAGACAGGTATATAGAGTCTAAAATTTTATTGAATTTCTTTGGGAGTTCATTCCTATTGGTAATATGGGTCAGATGAGTTTTATTTATTTCTTAAAGAACATTAATGTAGGCCCAAGCTGAGAAGCTCAGGTCTGTTCAAGGAATGCTTCAGAGGTTCCGAACACTATTCAACTTGCCTAGTGCAATCCGTGGGAGCATTAGTAAGGGTGAATATGACTTGGCGGTTAGGGAGTACAGGAAAGCGAAGTCGATTGATTTGCCCTCTCATGTAAAGAATATTACTTCTACTTCTATTTTCTGGTTGATGCATATCATTTACAGTTCCAATTTTCGGCGTCAAATGAATTGCATATGTTTGTACCAGGGGGTGTCTACTCACCTTTGTGTTCACTTATACAAGTTAAAGTAATTGTCATTTTCTTCTTCACCACCACCACCCCCCCGCCCCGCTTTGGAACTTTACAAATATTGTTCCCAAATGGATGGAATTATGGTTGAAAATGTTAAAGCAACTTTAATGAGCCTACCATTTCATTAGATTCATTAACCTGTTTCCGGGAATGGTAATGAGATTTGTAAAGGGTCCAAATCTAATTGTACTACAGATAAAGCTGCCTAACTAGTTTTATGTGCTGTTCATTTGCATGGTGTAAATTAAATACTCCATTACGTCAATTCTAAGCCTTAAACATTGACTTGGCTATTTTGGATAAAATTCAAGTTTGTACTTTTGATCCAGCATATGTATACTTGTAAGTAAAAGTTGTAAGGTAGATTAATGTAAAATGTAATTGAATCCCGTTTCAATTTATTGTTAAAGACAGATAAAGTTAATGAATAATTATTTGATGTAAATGTGAGTTATTTTTCAATTACTTTTATCATGTTTCATAGTTCACTTCATTTATATGCACGTGTATATCTGTTTCTCTAGATACTTTCATATTTGCTTTATAACTTCTGTAAATGCCAAAGAAACTAGGGTCCTATAACTGTTCACCAGGATCACAGTGTGGCTGGTCAGTAATGGTACTACATAGGAGGTTTTTAATTGTTTTCCTGAAGCACTAATGCTTCCACTGGAATAAGCTCAATATAAAAGGGAAGCAAAGAGAGAGAAAAGACAAGTCTATTTACAGCAGTAAGAAATACTAGAGTTACTCCTATCAACGTTGGAACCTAGATTTCTAAAGGGAAATCTGGGAAAGCCAAAGTTTAGATTTCTAAAAATATCTCAAAATGATATTCAATATGACTTGTTACATTAGGTAAAGGGCGGTCCCTTTCATAATAATGACTCCTAATTTCTCCAATAGAACATTAGTAACATTATACCACTTTCCTAAGTAAACACTTAGTCGTTCAAAACCTTAATTAATACTTTTATAGAAACAAGAATGAAATTTGACTTCATTACAAAAAGAGACATTTCAAGGCACCATTCTTTATTTGCATCGATCCCCCCTCCTTGAAGAAAACTAGCTATTGAGCTTGAGCCAATTTACCACGATCTATTGAAAACCAAACGTGAACCTCTACACCCTTTGTTTCTTCTTTTCCATACTCAAACAACACACACTAATCTTCTGTTACTGAACTTTCAGAGCTTGTTTTTGAAATTTAGTAGATTTTCGAAACTTGGTTGAACACAAATCAGGAACCAAGACCTGAATTAATCTGATTTTTGCATTGGAACAACACTTGGCTATATGTTGTGCCAAGGATTCATCCTAAATCAGATCATGGATATGGAATTCATGATTTTCCAACGACATGAACTAGTAAGCTTCATTTCTAACCAAATTATTCAAGAAACTTAAATCTGATGCAATGCCCTCTGCACCAAATACCATTGGAAGTTCTATGGTCTTATCTTCAAAATTTCCACCTATTTGTTTATCGACCAATGTAAGCTCTGACGTATCTACAGCTTGGGAATCAAGTTGAGATATTTGCTTAAAATTTCTTCAATGGCTCCCACTTTTTCTCGCTTCAAATCCACGATATGCAGACTGAATAATGATAGCTCCCTCAGGCCTCCGCTTCTGACAAGTAATTGGTTGCTTCTTCAAACTTTTCTTTTTCCATCTTATTTTTTTCTTCATTTCCTCTTCATTGTTGTCGAATTCTGGAAGCAAGAAAGTTGAATTTTGGAAGCAAGAAAGTTGAATTTTCCTCTGGTGTCTGTCTCACCTTCTTCATCTACCCATCTAGTGATTCATCCCAAGCTGAAGTGGCATTCACAAAATCAACATAATTTCCAATGTCTTCCTCAATGTGAGTTGTTTTATGTTGATAATGCAATTATCTAAAGCTATTGAGCTCTTGGCAGACTTGTATCTCAATCCTTCATGTTCGTCGTACCAAATTTGAGACTCTTTAGTGCAGTTCATCATTGCCGAAGCGTTTTTTGGATTGTTTAACTGATGTGGCAGCACCCCGTTTTGCACTTTTGAACTGCTTATGCTGCTGATTTTTTTTTTCTACTACACTGTTTTGTCCAATTTTCACGTTGATATGCATCTGTCTGCCGATACCTTGTCTCCCAATGTCTAGATTAAGAGGAGAAATAATTCCATCTTGTTCTAATACAGCGCTCTGTTGAGAAATTTGATGTTGCAAATTCTCAAAGTCTGCTTTGTGGCTATCTTGCTTCCTTGCCTAGCCATAGATCCGCAATGACTACAGATCTTGGAGGAAAGGCTCTGATACCACTTGAAGCAAACAGATCGAAAGGAAAGTCTTCTTATAGTAGTAAGAAAGACTAGAATTACTTCAATCTGTCGGAGCCTATATTTCTAAATGTAAATCTGGGAAAAGCCTTGAGAGAAGTTTACAACAACAAAAAGAAGCCTTTTCCCCAAGAAATTTGTAATCAGAAAATATCTCAAAATGATATTGAATAAGACTTGGTACAGTAGAGAGTGGGCTGTCTCTTTTATATTACAACTTCTAATGACTCATGATTTCTCCCGTAATGACTTTTAGAATCCCCACACAATATTAATAACATTTTACCACTTTTCTTATAAACACTTAGTAGTTCCAAAATTCAATTAATACTTTTATAGATACAAGTATGAACTTTGACTTCATTAAACAAAAAGAAACTTTTCAAGGCACAATTCTTTATTTGCATCCAAAAGTGCCTACATGTGGCCTTAAAAATTTCTACCTTTAAAATTTATAGTTGATGTTTTTATTAAAGCCAAAAGGTTCTCCTTTTCTCTTTTGGTGGTTTTCAATGCCAAGTCAAACTTCTGCTTGGTGAGGCCATTCTCTATTTATTTTTTATTTTTTAGTTGGACAATACTTAGGTCCTCACCAGTGAGGATGTGTATATCCTTACCACTGATGTGGACTAATAATAAATGGATACGTCCTCTTTAATTACCAAAACAAAGATGGTGTGGTACACACTCACGTGCCAAATAAGAGATGGTAGATACATACACTATCTCTGATTTGGTAATGAAAGAATGCATGTCCATTTGTTATTGGTCCACATCAACAGTCAGTATTGTCCTTTTTAGTTTTTTAATGTTAAGGGATTTTAGAAAATGGCTACCCGCACATCATCAAGTATTAAGTTTTAGGAATTGTTTTTCAATAGATATAAGTATTTAATAAATTGTTTCTTGTATAAACAAGATTTACTAAAAATTTGAATTATGTAGATATGATTTGTTCTTATTTTGAATGTTTCACTTTAAGATGTTTACGGAACGACTTGCTTAGTTAAATTTATATACTTGATTAATTCTAACCACCGTGTTCTCTTTTCCTACTCAAGTAAGTGAACTTGTGAACGTGCATCATTTGCAGGTTGGAATACTGAAACGTGTTATTGAGGAGGTTGAAAAAGTAATTCAAGAGTTTAAAGGCATGCTTTACAGGTCCATGGAAGATCCACAAATAGACCCAACAAATGTAAGGTCACAATATACTTTTTTAAGGTACATCAGTAATGTGAAATCATGCCAAACTGATAAACACAAATTTAAGACCTGCATTAAGGCTTTCTTCTTGTTCTTAATATCTCTTTTTGCAGCAACAATGATTATAATTTAGAATATTGTAGATAGTGAGTGGTATGATGATACTGGTCTTAATATCTTATATACTTGTCTTTGTTTCTCTGCTTCCTTGTATTAGACAGATGATAGAGGTCTTGGTTATAAACGTATAGCAGATGAGTTTCATGTAGCTACTAGCTAAAAAACAATAAAAAGACAATTCTTGTTCATTACATGATTCATTCACAGTTCTTCTGCAGTGTTATGTGGAACTTCCTTTCTTGTTTTCCATTATCCTTGTGAGAGTTTGAATAATACAGTATGTTTCTCTTTTTGAGATGGACTATCAATTATGCTTTCATACATGCTTGTCAGGCAGTAGAATGGTTGATGTAGAGTTCTAGAGAGTGAGGATTCACTTCAACTCCTTTTAGACTAGGTTACCTTCAGCTAAAGACCATGGGTGAAGGGGATAGCCCTTTAGTCTTTGGTCAGTTGGCTGTAGAGTTCAAAGAGGTTTAGGATGTGACTATTTGGACTTTGGAGGCTTAAGGTTGGATGTCTCCTTGATTAGGGAAAAGGAGGGGGGCAGACCAATTAATGAGATTGCAACAGGGTGGGTTTTGCCTCAGCCTCATTCCAGGGAAGATTACTTCTCTTCTTTTTTTTTTTCTTAGTTGGTACTCACACACATTTTTTTTCTTTTTTTGATAAGTAAAATTTTTATAAAAACGCTCAAAAGGGGAGCGGAACCCAAATGAACTACAAAAGGCCACAAAGGACCTCTAAGCTTTCAAAGAGGCCAAAAAATCGACAATCTCCTCTAAAGATCTATAATCTCTCCCTGACATCCAACAAAAAAGAGTGGAAAGAATAGAAAATTTAAGAGTAGAAATCGACATCTCCTTCCTATCAAAATATCTCCTATTCCTCTCAAGCCAAATACACCACCACACACAAAGAGGCGTAGCCCTCGAAGCATCCCGAATGTGAGCCCCCCCCCCCCCCCCCCCCCCCCCCCCCCCCCCCCCAGAGCAACCTCTCCAAGCCTCAAATCAACCCTCTAACGGATCTAGGCATAACCCAGAAAAACCCAAACAAGCCAATCATCAAATCCCAGTAGTCTCTAGCCATGGCGCAATGGAGGAGAAGGCGATCAACTGTTTCCTCATCACGAAGACACATATAGCACCGATTTACGACTACCTGATTTTTCCTTCTCAAGTTATCCTGGGTTAAAATCCTTCCCAGAACAGAGGTCCATGCAAAGAAAGCAACCTTGAGAGGAGCCTTTGAGCGCCAAACAGACTTCCAAGGAAAATGAACTCTAGGAGCATCCGTGGGACATCCAAAAAAAGACTTAACCTCGAAACGCCCCTGACCTCTCTTTGGGAAGTAGGGGCCTAGTACCACTAGGCCACTGGCGTGTTGGTCTTTGCACATCTCTCTCTCTCTCGGGGGGAGAGAGAGAGATTACTTCTCTTCTTCCTCTGCAAGTGTTCATGATGGTGCCTTTTTGACATTCCTTTAATCTCAACTGCTAAGCCAACACTCCCCATTGCATGCAAATGCTATCATACAGAGGTCATACCCCTTGGATTGTGGGGCCCCACCTCATTCCTTGAGTTCTCGCCATGGAGAGGAGCTCCCCGAGGGCCTTTTTTCTTTCTTAAGGTCTACCTGTTGAGACTTGAGAGGGCATACCCCGAGGGATCGAGGTTTATCCATAGAAAGGAATTCCTTGCAGGATTGAGGTTTATACATAAAGAGGAACTCCTCAAAAGATTTCAGAAGCTTATCTGTAGGGAGGAGGAGCTAATCATGGTTGTTAGCTGGCTTCGAGGTGCATCCATAGAGAGAATGTCCTCAATAAGAAAGGTACCTCTGGAGGGTCTTGGGATCCTTGTAAGGAGATTCATCATTCCTCATAGCATGCATATACATGTTTCACCTTGAGATAAGTGTTAGCCCATGCCAGTAGTGTCAGTGGTAAGCATCCCTCACCTAAAGGAGGAGGGTGGGGGGTGGGCTTACATGGTGCATTTACCAGCAGGTTGGCAGTGATGTGGCGGGACTGGTCCGCAGTATGTGATACTACATACTTCTTTGGCATGAGTTCTTACGCATGGTGAGCCTGTGGCAGGCTCAGTTCTTTTAACGTTACTCTTTGATAATATGCTATATATATATATATATATATTTTTTTTTTTTGTTATATAGAAATATTTTCTTTTTGAAATATATAAATATTGATCATGTGCACTATTAGGATTAGAATTCAGTGTTGACAAATTTTGTAACAAAAGTCTGAGCCTGAATTTTTATTTTTATCTTTTGATTAGATTTTTCAAAGTTAGTTTAGTTAATTAGTTTGTGATGGTATATATGTCCAAGGGCAAAATTGGAATTTGAAGAAATATCAAAGGACAAAAAGGTTAAATCATCTATTGAATAATTAATTAACTCACCAATTAGGGTTCATAAACTTATATTCTTATGGAGATCTCCATTAGTCTCCTCAATAAGTAAATAGCCTCCATCGTTGACTTACCCAGCACGAATCCAAATTGATTCTCCGACACGTCCGTCTCTCGTCTTAGGCATTGTTCAATCACTATTTCCCAAGTTTCGTAGTGTGACTCACTAATTTAATACCACGGTAATTATTACCACTTTGTACCTCCCCAATTTCATCTTCCTCAAGGCATTTCTAACCTTCCACTCCTTGACCCTATGGAAAAATATTTTATCTAGCATATGCTTCCTATATGGTTTCATTTAGCAATTTCTCAAAATAACTTTTCCATCTTTCTTTAATTTCATCGTCTTTTACTAAATCCTGTGAGTCTTAACTCTTGATACATTTAATATGGCTAAAATCTCTAGTATTCCTCTCCCTTGGCTTTGCAAGTTTATATATATTATTCTCCCAGACTTTTGTGCCTAGTATAGAACAGAAATCGTTATATGCTCTATGTTTTGCCTCACATTCTACTTTCTTAACTTCTTTATTTACTTTTTTATATTTGTCGAAGTTTTCGTTACTTTTAGGTTTTTGCCATAACTTTTAGCATTCCCATTTTGTTTTTACGACTTTTTGGACTTGATCATTCCATTATTGGGTGTTCCTAAGAAGCAAAAAAGCTATAGTTAGATTGAAATTGGTTATTTGGTATACCAAGTCACGTCAGATGTTTCATTTTGTTCAAATGTATTATGTGGTATGTTCCACAACCCATTTAATCTGATGATAATATGTTCATATTGGTACTTGATCAACTGAGTTCTTTGGTAAGGATATCGTTAAATGCACAGGGCCCATGTAGGAAATAATACGAAGAGACCACATGAGGGCCTTTAATACTATAGCTTGGAAGTCGTTAGCATTACACGGCTACCATCACCCATTCACCACCTTGGACCTAATGTACAGGTGATGGGTGGTTCTACCAGTCAATGCGATATGGTTAAATGCATAAGGCTCATGTAGGAAATAATACTAAGAGACCACTTGAGTGCCTTTAATTCTATAGCTTTGAAGTCTTTAGCATGACACGGCTACCATCACCATTCACAAAATTGGACTTAATGCACAGGTGATGGGTGGTTCAGCCAGTCAATACGATTCATAGGTGGTCATCTGGGAAAGACGTGGCTGCAGTGCAACTCTGAATATTCTGTTTCTATGCTTCATTTTCAGTGTTACCCATGTATTACTTTCAATGGTGATAGGCAATTGGTTGTATTTACTTCAGTAATAGTTTTTAATTTGTTGAAAATTCTGGCATCTGAGTACAATCTCATGCTTCATGTAGCTTGAAAACCTCGTGAGGCTTTTGTTGGAGCTGGAACCAGAGTCAGATCCTGTCTGGCATTATCTAAATATACAGGTGAGCAAAAAAACAATCAGTACACTGTTGCATTCATTTGTTCACAAGAGTTTCATCAATATCTATCTGGATTGGAATCATTATATGTTAGCTTGTGTAGGTCTGCAAGCAGCCAACACCTTAGCTTGTTAAGTCTTTTGGAATTACATCATACACTTGGGATGAAGTTAATTTTTTGTTTTTAAATGTCTTCTCCTTCTACCTTTACTGGCCAACATTCAACCTTTTTGTGATTTTCAAGGAAGAATGAAATGTTTGTTCATGTTCTCCCTTCCCAATTCGTCTAAAGGCCTTTTCTTATAATCATCCTGGTAGCACAATTTGCTGAGTTCTTTTGCTTTGCATACTTGACAGAATCAAAGAATTCGAGGTTTGCTTGAGAAATGCACCTTAGATCATGAAACAAGGATGGAAAATTTGAACAATGAGATGCGTGAGAAAGCACTGTCTGATGCAAAGTGGAGGCAATTTCAGCAAGATTTAAATCAATCTGTAAGTGAAACTACTAGGAAGAATGATTTTTTTTGTTGATATGAAAATTTTACCAGTTCAGTACTTAATAATGTTGAACCCTTTTCTCATGTACTGCAATCAGTTAGATGTCAACTATTCTTCTACTCTTGAAAGCACCCATCTGCTGGGAGATTCACTACCTGTAGAGTTGACTGGCGAAGAAGTTGATGCTCTCAGAGGGAGGTATATCCGCAGGTTAACCGCTGTACTTATCCATCACATACCAGCCTTCTGGAAAGTAGCCCTTTCTGTTTTCGGTGGGAAATTCGGGAAGGTACTTCGGGACATTATCTTTTTATCTAAGCCTTACAGTATGAACTAGGATAGTATAATGTGTTCCAATATGAGGTATCCTCTTAAAATAATTTGAAATAGAAAACATGAATTTTATTGCATATAGTTAAAAATTTGACAACTTCTGTACTTCATTGCATCATTGAGTGTCAGTCAACGCCAATGCTTGTTATACTAGAGGAAATGCAGTTTCCTTTCATTGATACATAATTGTCAAATGGTTGTGCTTCTCCATGGATTCATCAATGTAGTTTTTGGTTTGCTACAATCATTTAATTATGCTTACTGCTATTAGTATAAGAACTCTATAATTTAGGCAATTAATTAATTAATTATTTTTTAACTTATCAAATTTTTTTTTTTAATTATTATTATTTTTTACTTTATTGTTGACAAAATTTGGTAGACGAGCATAGTGAATTGGCAAAATACTTCTTTATGTTGTTTCCCCTTTCTGGTTTTAACTGCTTGAGTTTCAATTCCTCAATGTAAGGGGCGGACCAAAATGGAGACCACCCCAAAATTTTTGTGAAACCTTCATAAATATGTATATGAAAAATTAATTTTAATTTTAGAAATATATAAAAGAAAATTGACATTTGGCCCCTCAAAAAAATTATGAAGAATCACAATAGGAGCTTGAGGAGACCTTATTTTGGGACTTCTTTATGTTGTTAATCCAATTGAGATATATTCTATCCACACCACTTTTCTCTTAAACAAATCCAAATTCCAATTAATGGTTGAAGCAAGTCTATATATTTTTTGTGTATATGAATTTTATACAATCTTTTTTGTTGATTAATTAGTTATCGTACAACCATAACTAAGATGTTTAATTGATTAATATCTATTTATAATCAAGATAATGTTTCATGGGTTAAATTTGATTAATTTACTAACTATTAAAAAAAAATCACGATAATAATTGAATTCGGATATACTTAGGCTGAAATTTCCGATACCATTACATTTCAAATATACATAGGCCAATATCTTTTATTCGGGGAGCTGAGGATGAGGCTGGACTTATTATGAACCTTTCTAACTTGCACTTTAGGGAAGCTCAAACCTTACACAGATGTTCGCTGCACCAGCACTAGAATCATCTTAAAAGTGTTTCCACTCCTGCCCATCACTTGAAAGCTTGTTAATGGGAACTATGGTATCGAACTTCTTAATCGCATTGTCTTTTTTTTTTTTTTATCCTAGTTGGTACTCATACACCCCCCTCCAAGGAATTGTTTGCACTTAGCAGGAATCGATCCTGAGATGTGATAATTGCATTTTTTATTAGAAATGAATTTGCTAGCATTTGACTCCGTACCATTGAGGGGTTTGTTCACAACTATGCTTGATTTTGGCGAAGGATGCTTTAATGTAGTTTGGATTGCTAATTGACATTCTTGAACAACCGACTGGTTGGTTCATCGATAGAAAGCCCCGTTCCTTACTCCTTCTCCATTACATTATCTGATAGCATAATTTAAAAGTATACTTGTTTTATCCTTTCGTGGTTTCTAATTATTTTTACATATTTATGCCATTCATGTGCACATAATGTTGGGTTATGCAATATTCTTCATTGATGGGTGAATCTTTTCTTAGAATTTGTTTTTGGTATTATGAATTTATTTTAAGACTTATATAAATAAAAGCATATCATATATTTAGTCATTTTTTTTATAAAAAAATTCGGACAATTAATTTGGCCCCTCCAAATTAAACATTCTTCATTGATGGGTGAATCTTTTCTTAGATTTTGTTTTTGGTATTATGAATTTATTTTAAGACTTATATAAATAAAAGCATATCATATATTTAGTCATTTTTTTTATAAAAAAATTCGGACAATTAATTTGGCCCCTCCAAATTAAACTTCCTGGGTCTGCCCCTGCTCAATGTCATTAGTTGCATGAAGGATTGGGGAAAGCAAGATTCTCTTATTGAAAGGCCGTCTTTCACAGGTGATTTAAAGATCAAAGGTAATTCCTTTTTGGGTGCTCATATTGAGTATACTTGCTCCATAGTATATGAAGCTTATGTAAATACATTTTGTCGATTATTATATGAAATCTGTAAAGCAATCCTAGGGGTGTTGTGGCGGTATCGGACACTCTTAACACGCACGGGACACGTGTTTGACACGGCTACAAGTGTCTTGAAATTTGATATATATATACATGTATTTGGTTGGACACGGTATGGACATGGCAGGGACACATCATGGATACATTTGAGACACTTTCAGAACCAGGACACGTCGGGGTAGTTTTATAATTATTTTTGTTAAACGAATGTGATTCCAATGCATTTTTAAAATATATTATGGGTTAATTAGATTAATAATATAAAATTTTGAAAACAAAATCTTGCTCGAAGCTCCAAGTTACTGATTCATTCATGATAATGTGGATAAAATTATTTTTTATGTATAATAATATATTATTAAAAGACTTATCAAAAAAAAGAAAATAATATATTATTATTACTACTCTTGACGTATCCCTGCTGTTTCCGTGTCCTATTTTGTCTGAGATTTGCCGTATTGCCGTGTCTGTATCAGTGTATCGTGTCGTACCCATATTCCGTGTCGGTATCCGTGCTTCCTAGGTTGTAGGAGATGTATCATCAACCCAGAATACTTTTTGAAGGGAACGTAAATATTGGACTAGCTAATGAATGTGTCGATACTAGGTTAAGAAAGGAAGAGGTGGGAATCATTTGTTAAGCATAGAGAAGATTTATGGTCATTTTAATTGGGATTTTCTTCAGTGTAGGTTGGAAAGGGTAGTTTTGGAACCAAGTGGAGCCCGTGGAGGAAATGATTGGAAATTTGAATTTTCATGTTCAGTCTTTTAGTCTTGATGAATTGGTTCTTCAGTGGGTATTTTTTTCCAGATTTGAGGGGGTTGAGGCAAAGGCTCTCCCCGTTATTGTTTGTCATGGCAATGAATGCTTTATATAGGCTTCTATGACGAGCAGTGGAAGGATTTTATTGAGGGGTTTTGTGGTAGGGTACAGGAGTGCTAGTGAGGTACCCCACTTACTGCTTGCAGATGTACTATATTTTTTCACGGTCGATGAGTAGCAGTTGAAATCCCGATTATGTTGCCTCAGGCGAAAGTGTGATTTGGAAGAGCATGGCAGAGAAAAGAAGCATCAAGATAATGCCTTTCATTTGTTATTTTTTTCCAAGCCAAGAATTTCTTGGAAAGCACTCATTGAGTAATTACGGAGTCTCAAATCTATCTGAGACTTCATTATCCTATAAAGTTTATTTTCCACTTTATTTCGACACATTATAGCTCGTCAAAGGAGGAATGAGTGCAAGTACAGTTAATAACGCTCTCTATTTAACTCAGCATCAAATTGAGCTGGCTAAGAATTTTATTTATATGTTTATCAAGAAAAAAAGAGACATTTCCTAATAGCATTCTGAAGCAAATTTATTTGCAGTTGATTATGTACCTTGTAGAAACCCATGACTAGCAAAACAAATCTTTGGAGCAGCAATTTAACGTTGTTATGGTTATTTCAGTTATTTAGTGGGCATTTTTTTCTTTTCCATTTTTTTTTTATTTTTTTTCTAAGTATTTTTCTTTTCCTTTTTTTAATTCAGTAACAGAATTCCCGACCAATGTCTTCGGTAAAATAAACAGCTTGTGCATAAACTGACACTGGTTATATAGACTGAATCATTAGAATGTTTTTCAAATTATTAATGTCTGATGTCATTGTTCTTTTTCCATGCAATTTAATTGAATGTTTTTGAAATGGCATGGTTAGCAAGTGTTGGAGTTAGTTTTTGAGGGAAAAATAAGCGTTGAAATTCTGTAAAGCATTGTAACTCTTCATAATATGAATATGTAGCGACCAGAAAAATATCAAAGTGTGAAACAGATTGACATGGAAGTGAAGAAAATTGATAACCTTGAAGTTAAGTTTGGTTGTTCCTTCTTCACAAGGTGGAGACAAAAACAAGGGAGGATTTGCCCTGTATCCAGCAACCCAACCTATACAAAGGGCATCAAAGCGCCTTTACTGGGTTAAAGCTATGCACTTCCATTTTCCCTTTAACAGTAGGGGTGTCCCGTGGTTCCTATGCCTTTGCGTTTCCCGGTCATTTTCTTATAGTGCTTTGAGTCCTTCATAAAATGAATATGTAGCAACCGGAAAAATATCGAACTGGAAAATATATTGACGTGGAAGTGAAGAATATTGATAACCTTGAAGTTAAGTTTGGTTGTTGCTTCTTCAAAAGGTGTGGAGACATATACAAGGGAGGGTTTGCTTCATGAGAGTATAAACATATATATCTTATTTTGTGGACATCGTGGCAACAATGGTGCATACACGTTTGGCAAGAGAAGTCGCAAAATGCATTTTTATACCTCAGGTCCCTTTATTAACCTGATATCATTCATAAGAAAAAACTGAACTTTAAAATAAGGTCAAACTGGATGGTTTCATTTCTGATTCTCAAAATGCCTTTGCGGGCGGTCGTCAGATTTTGGATTCAGTTCTCATTGCTAGTGAATGTGACTCCAGGTTGAGTAGTGGGGTTTCGGGTGTTTTGGGTAAGCTGGACATTGAGAAGGCGTACGATCATGTGAGTTGGAGTTTCCTTATTTACTTGATGGAGAGGATGGGGTTTAGTGTGCGGTGGAGGAAATGGATTCTTTTTTGCATTTCCAGTGCTTACTTCTCTGTCCTTGTGAATGGTGCTCCGAAGGGTTTTTTCTCTAGTTCAAGGGGATTGAGACAAGGGGATCCGCTTTCTCCTTTGTTGTTCCTTTTTGTGATGGAGGCTCTTAGTAGATTGATTAAGAGGGCGGTCGAGTTGGGATTTTTGAGCGGCTTTCGGGTGGGCAGGGATGCCACTAGTCAGTTGTAGATCTCTCACTTGATGTTTGCTGATGATACTTTAGTGCTTCGTGATGCGAATGTGTCCCAGTTGAGATATCTGAGATGCGTTTTGGTCTGGTTCCAAGTGGTCTTTGGGCTTAAGGTTAATGTCGGAAAGAGCGTTCTTGTGCCGGTTGGGGAGGTCCCTGAGATTGAGATGTTTGCTCAGATTATTGGATGTCGCATTGGCTCTTTTCCTATTTCTTACTTGGGTTTGCCCTGGGATCCCCTTCGAGGTGTGTGGGAAGCTGGGATCTGGTTGTGGATAGATTCGAGAAGAGACTGGCGGGATGGAAGAAGCAGTAGTACCTCTCCAAGGGGGGTCGGGTCACTCTGATCAAGAGTCCTTTCATGCCTTACCACGTATTTCATCTCTCTTTTCCAGATTCCTTCTTCTGTGGCTGAGAGAATCGAGAGATTGCAGCGTAATTTTTTTTTTTTGGGGGGGGGGGGGGTCTGGTTCGTTGGGAGCAAGTGTGTTGTCTGATTCAGAGTGGAGGTTTAAGGATTAGGAGATTGTTGCCTTTCAACAAGGCTCTCCTTGGGAAAGGGGTTTGGGGGTTGATAGGCGTTGGCTTTGGAGGAGGGTTATTGCGATCAAATTTGGGGAGAGCAGTGGGGGGTGGAGTTCTCTTGAGGTGCATGGTCCTAGAGGGGTGGGGGGTTGGACTCTCATCCAGAAGGGGTGGGATGATTTCAGCAAACATGTTCGTTTTCGGATCCGAGATGGTAGGAGGATCAGATTTTGGGAGGATCTTTGGTGTGGAGAGCGTTCTCTTGCTCTTGCTTTCCCTCGGCTCTACATGATTGCTTCTCATAGGGAGCCCATGGTGGGTGACTGTTATCATCTTGATAACGGGAGATTGACTTGGGATGTTCAGTTTAGGAGGCATTTTCAGGACTAGGAAGTTGAGGAGGTCCCTCTCTTTTTGGAGTTATTGTATCGCCAGGTGATTATAGGGGATTCGGATTGTTGGCATTGGAATCCTAACTCTCAGGGTCGCTTCGAGGTTTGGTCTTTTTTCAGGTGTCTTACGGTTGGCTCTAGGTCCTTTCCCTTGGAAGTCTATTTGGCGTTCCAAGGCCCCTCTCAAGGTGGCCTTCTTTGCTTGGACCTCTGTCTTGGGTAGGATTCTAACCCAGGATAATTTGAGGAGACGGAATCAGGTGGTTGTTAATCGTTGTTATTTGTGTCGGAGCGATGAGGAAACTGTTGATCATCTTCTGTTGCATTGCAACATGGCTAGGGATTGTTGGGATTTAATGCTTGGTTTGTTTGGGATCCCTTAGGTCATACTTTTTTCATCTAGAGGGTTGATTGAGGCTTGGAGAGGTTTCTCAGTGGGGGCTCTCATTCAGGACGCTTGGAGGGCTACGCCTCTTTGTATTTGGTGGTGCATTTGGCTCAAGAGAAATCGGCATATTTCGATGGAATGGAGAAGCCTACTTCTATGCTTAAGTTCTCTATTATTTCCACTCTTTTTTGTTGGGTTTCAGGGAGAGATTATAGATCTGTAGAGGAGATTATTGTTTTTTTTTGGCCCCTTTGAAGGCTTGAGGCGCTCCTTGGCCTTTTGTTTTGTTTTTGGGTATTGCTCCCCTTCTGAGCGCTTTGTTTATAAAATTTTACTTATCAAAAAAAAAATAAGGTCAAGCTGGCTTCTTCCAGCTATGCCTTCCTTCTCCTTCCAATAACGAAAAAAGAAAAGGCAAAATGAGTTCTTTCTTTATTGTTATTTTGGACGGAAGGTTGTTAGATTATAATTTGATATTTAAGCTATTGAATAGTGGTATTTAATTTTCACGTTGCATGGATTGTACCCTCTTCTATTTGCCATTTGAGAGGTTTCCAGAGAGTAGCATTAGCATGTTAACTCTTTATGGCAATATATAGGACAGGTGATTCTTAAACTATTTAGGATAAAAAGGTTTAGTCTGCTTCTTTCTCCCTAGTCTTGTAATATTGTGGGTTGTCGTATAGCAGTCTAAGTCCATTTCCTTGAACATCATACAATGTTAGTTGTCGATATCAAAGTGTCGACTTTCTCCATTGTCTTTTTAGTGGTTTGTCATGATATAAACATGGCATGGCGGTCGATCATTGCTTTGAATACAATTGAGAGATCTCTCTCAAATGGATGAAAACTGGTACATTGCAGCAAATGACGCAAGCTTTAAATACCTAACTTGCATGGCTGTGAAATTTATCTTTTATAGAACGCAGTTGAAATGCTCCCTAAATCTAGCTTCTTGATGCATATGACCAATCTGTATCAGCACTGAGCTTCACAGTTATCTGGTTATTGAGATAAAGATAGTTTTTTTATTGTCTGTAGTTCTCGAATATTGCTTTTGTTATGTGACAAGTTCACCAAACTCAAACTGCAAGACCCCTAGTGTCGAGTGTCAACATTGGCCCCCCCCCCCCCCCCCCCCCCCCCAGTTTCCCCCAGTTTCGTCAAGTGTCAACTTAACTGGAAGCAATTGAAACAATCTTTCTCGATTGCAGAAGTCTTACTGTGCTGACATTCATGTAACTTTCATAACTTCAAAAAGCAATAGAAGTGGTCCCTATATTCTTCACAGTCTCGAGTGTTAGCCGTTTGCGTGCATTTTTTCATTTGCTCTCATCAGCATTTCATATAATTACAGAAGTGTGCTTGCATGAACTGGTTGAAGATAAATTTTTTTTTTGTAAGAAATAACAAAAGAAGCCCAATTTTTCATCCCTGATCAGAAACAGTGTGAACTTTGTCTAACGATTTAATAGAGCATGGCTATCTTCTGGCTTTTCTTTTTATTTTAATTTTTTTAGTTTTGTTGTGACGTCTAATCTAAGATCTGGTTTTTTCATTTAAAATTACTGATTGCCTTCATTTTTTAATCTGCAATTCATGTTTCAGTCTTCCCAAGTTTCCGCGGATACACATGTTAGTACTTCTGCAAATAAAGGTGAGGAAAAAGCTGGAGATGGGAAGTACTCGAGCCATTCTTTTGATGAAGTTTCTGGAATGGTACACAGTACTTTATCTGCATTTGGAAATAAGGTAAGGATTCTCTCTTGCATTGCTTGATGTGAGAATAGTAAGTTATGGCAGGACCGTTTCATTACCTGTAATTTGGATGTGACTGGAATAAGTTGCCTTCGATGGCTATGTAATTTTGTACTTTTTGGTTGGAGTATGAACTTTACCAAAAGCTGTTTGGTTGTTCTGAAGGGGATAATTTTGTTAATATAAGATGTCGCGAGTTTTCTGGGTTTCAAAGGCCAAAGATATGTTAGATTCCTGGGATAGTTAGCATACAACTAGAGTATGCACATATGCTTTTACACACACAACACACACACACCTTTTTCTTATCTGTTCAATGGTGAAACATTTTATCTTTAAGAGAATATATATGCTCATACTGTAGAGGCATAGATCAGTTTGAATTCCCGATGTTTGACTCCAACTGATAGTGAAAAAAGTACCAATGAGCCCGTATTGAATGTCATACACATATATTAAGATTACCGAGCTTGCTTCACTGTTTACATTCATTTAAGCACCAACGAGGCTGCATTTTTTTGTGCGCAATGACGGTCTTTTTTCTTCTCTTGTACCTCTGGTTTGGTGTAAGAAAGTGTATCTAAATGGGTCTATTGTTTGTCTGCAGGTTCAAAACACATTTCGCGAATTCGAAGAATTAAATATTCTTCGTCCGTACATGAGCAATGCTATAAAGGAGATATCTAAAGCATGCCAAGCTTTTGAAGCAAAAGAATCAGCCCCTCCAGTTGCTGGTATCTAAATTTCCTCTCATGCTGCAGTTTATTGTCTTCCCAAATTGTACTGAGTGGTTGCTTCTGTGACCAACAGTTACAGGATTGCGGACGCTTCAGTCAGACCTTACAAAAATGTACATACTAAGGCTTTGTTCATGGATGCGGACTACAACAGAAGAGATATTGAAAGATGAATCATGGGTCCCTGTATCTATTCTGGAAAGGAACAAATCTCCATACACGATTTCTTCCTTGCCTTTGGCATTCCGTTCAATTATGTCTTCGGCAATGGATCAGATCCATTTGTAAGTCTCCAGAGCTTATTTAGCTTTGTTGCATGTTAAAGATGGAGTAGCTAACATCACAAGAAAAATGGAGTAAAAATACAGAGAAGTTAATTAGGTTAGATTGTGGTGACATGTATGGGTTCACCACTTCTGCTTGCTAGGTAGTGATGACACTACAGTTGATTAGATGTTATGCTCAGCTGATGTTGTGACAGCATCATTTTATTAATTTTCAACATCAATTTTTATATCATGACTTATCAATTATTATTATTTTCAATATATCATGAAGAAAAGGTAAATTGTTGGGGGTTGCATTGAAAGTTTGTGCCAGCAAGAAGGTGTCTATGGAGGCATGGGTGATCATTCTAGGTGTCACACAGCAGTCCAAGAGGAAGCCCATGCATTTTCTGTCCCAATTACCTTGGCCACCTACATGGCTACATGACCCTTCGGGTCATTGTCGTTGAGTCTGGTCATACCCCATGAGAAGGTGGACGCTGAGGTTGTGTGCACTTGGTGTTGGAATCAAAGTTACCCCTCTTTTTCAATGATACCATAATTGCCCATAAGTGTGACACCATGCCTGCCTATTTGAGAGCAGGGCCAAGGATTCATGGAATTCCATAGTTGTTGTAATTGTCATTTGTTTCATAATGGGCTAAATTTTGAACCCTTGATTATCTGACTAGTAGTTGCCTCCTCGAGCTTTCTAACCCCCCACCCAAACACCTTCCTTCCCTCCCTCCTCTTTGGGCCAGCGCTTATCACCCTGACCTACTTCTCTGGGTCTCCCGTACCACATTTAATATCTTGTTTAAAGAATCAACTATAAACAGTGCCTGTAGACAACATGAATGTTATAGGTGGATTATGTGAGCAGAACTTTTACCTCACAATGCATGTGTTTTGTGTGAGCAGAAATTGTTTGCAGCATTGAAATATTGCTATATAGAAAAGGGAAAAAAAAGTATCACTTCAATTTGAAAGAATCTTAACATGTGAAAAGTCTTACTCTAATGCGAATTTTAGATCTCAATACTTCATTTGTCAACAGTCATTTAGTGTACAGTCTTAGTGTTACATGTGTGATGGAATCAGATTTTTTCACTTTTCAGTACATGGCTTGAACCTTATGGTTTCTGGATTTTATGCAGTCCATATACCATTCAACCATTGTAGATAAACTACTATGATCATGTCCTGAGTACTGTTGTCAAAATTTGTTCTTTCCAGGATGATTCAGTCTTTAAATAGTGAAGCTACAAAGTCAGAAGATATGTTCATGCAGCTTCAAGAATCTATCAGAGTTGCATTTTTGAATTGTTTTCTGGATTTTGCTGGTATAATGAATGGGTTACTACCTAAATCCTGTGTTCTATAGTATTTCAGTAACAAATGCAGAACTAGGTAATGAAACTTCCATTTGTTGCGTGCTGATCAGGTCATCTGGAGAATATCGGAGGCATGCTTGCACAAAATAGGTCAAACAGAGAGAGTCCACATTTACAAAACGGATATTTTCATGAGCCACAAGACAAGTCATCTGATCCTCTCCCTGAAAGTGTCAATAATCCACATGAACAGCTGTTAATGGTCTTGAGTAATATTGGATATTGTAAAGACGAACTTTCTCATGAACTGTACAACAAATACAAACATATCTGGCAGTCCAGGTATGTAGTCGTCGCTTTGATCTTCTTTATTGGAGAGGAAAACATTGAATATTTTGTAGAGGGTTGTCTTTTTACTGATTTTACTCGTGCTACACTGGATCCATGTATAGATATTTGGCTGCAATGCATTATGTGGGCCAAATGAGCTACAGGCCCTATCTTTAACTATAAGGAATTAGTTGGAGGCTTAAACTTAACCTAAGTGGCCTAATCAATTTTAAAGGTGAGAAATTGTTCAAACATGGGTTAGTAATGACAGGTGCAAGAATCTGGTTTTGGTGTTAAAACAATTTGCTGGTTCAATAAACATGAGTTTGAGTTTCAAAGTTCATCTTATAATTTGCTTTTATACCCCTTCCCCCCCTTTACTTTTTCAGTTTTCCTATCCTTTTCCTTTTAACTGGACAACATTGAAAATTTGTTTTTACCTTATGATAGCAAGTGTTTTTATATTAGAGTCGGGCTTTGTCATACTAGGTCCTCTAGAGCCTTGATTGAGGCTTAGAGAGGGTGTGTTGTGGGCTCTCAAGCCCGCGACTTTTGGAGGGTGGTACCCTTTTGTGTTTGGTGGTGCATTTGGAGGGATCAGAATATAAGATCCTTTGATGGAGAGGAATCTTCTGTTGGGGTTCTGAGTTCTCTATCATTAGCTCTCTTTTTTATTGGGCCAACGGGAGAAATTGAATATCTTTAGGAGAGTTGATTGATTTTTTGGGTTTTTGGCCTCTTTTATGGTCCCTATGTCGTTTTTTTTTTTGGGGTGCGTTCCCTGTTTGAACACTTTTTATACAATGTTACTTATCAAAAAAACAGAGATGCTTTAATCAATTTATCAAATAATATATTTTTTTGTTTTCTTTGTCATATTTTTTTAAAGCTTCATTTTTGTCTGTGAGCTTACTGACGATATGCAAGTTATATTGATTATGCGCGAAAATTCAATCTTTACTGGTGAGTGGTGAATTTCATTTTGAGTCATGCGATCTTATTTTCCCTATTGTAGGGAAAGAGATGAAGAGGACAGTGATGTACAAGATTTGGTTATATCATTCTCTGGGCTAGAAGAGAAGGTCCTTCAACAGTATACTGTTGCGAAGGTATAGCTGAACATGTCTTTATTTTACTTGGACAAATTGTTGCTACAATACATACGTGTGATTATTTAGCTCTCTGTCGTCTGCATTCCCTCTTAAATAGACTTTTTTCTTCGTGGGAAATCTAGTCAACTGGTCAAGCCATACAGACGTGCATATTTTTATGGATCGTCTTTTATTGGTAGCTTCCTTGTGGAAGCAACTACTACAATTCACATAATATTATTGTATGATATATGGTTTCTCAACTCATTAGGGCCCGCTCGGTTTGTCACTTAGAAAACTGTTTTCAAGAACTCAGAAAACAGAAAACTGTTTTCGGAGAACTATCGGCAATTTTTTAACTGAGTTTTCAGAAACTGTTAACCAAACTGATTTTTGTACAGTTTTCTGATTTTCACTTCACAGCAAACAGAAAACTATTCTATGAAAACTGAACCAAGCAGGTCCAAATGTCTCAAACTAAGTTGCCATGGTTTTTGTCAGATGAATATGACACTGAATTTTGGAAATATTCTTTGTTTTTTTTTTTTTTTTAGTCATATATATATATATATGTATTATTTTTGGCAACCATAGGGTTTCTAGTTGTTTTTGGAGAAACTTTGCACTAGTGAATTGAGTATATAATCCCTTGACCAGAAATCAATTGCTCGCATGCATTTCTTCAACAGAAATACAACAAAGTAGGCAAAGAAATATTTCTAAAACTTCTAGTAAGCAAAAGTATCTATTAGCATGTGAAATTCTAAATAAATAACTCAGGAACTGTTACCCCCCATAAGATGTTCAAGAACTTCTAAATTAAATGAAAGAAGGCTACAAGATCTTCCAGGAGGGATGGGAAAGAGAACTTCCATGCCTCTTGAGCACACAAGATGTGCCATGGATGTGTGAATTCAAGCTACTGATCTCCAATCCAAGCCGGCAAGGAGTATAGATGATGTTGTAGGGAAAAAATAAAGAGGAGGAGAAGATTGAAGAAGAAGAAAATTTGACCAGCAGACTATTTTTTTCCTCTAATAATGTCAAAAATCCCTAGACAAATAGTGCTATTTATCATTTTATGGAGGATTTGGTGCTACCATATAAGGTTTATAATCTGACAAATAGAATGCTGAAATCGGTGTAGAAAAGGAGCTGCACTCTACTTGATTGATCATGTCCCAAACATATAACTAGTTAAGTGATGATGTGATCAGCTGCCGAATCATAAGGTAAACTGCCATATTAAAATGCGTAGCAAGACAAAAATGCAACATGAAATCACTAGTCTATTAAAAAAATTAAATCAGGATCCCAAGTTACATCACTTTTTCAAGTGCTAATTCTTTTGATAACAACATTTTGTGCATCAGGTTAAAATATTGTGGTCATATTAGAAAGCTAAAAGGAAACTAAACTCAGAATCCAGTAAATTGGATGTAACATCATCTGTGGTGCTTGGAAATTGCAACAACAACAGAGGTTGATGCTCCCACAACTCTTTGAAGAAGGAAATATGCGGGACAGCCATATATATAGTATCAATGAAACTCAATTGGGTTCTATGTGTAGTGTTGTGCTGAACAGTTCAATTTTCTGTGTTGTGAGAATTGATCATGTATTTAGATTTTCAGTAACTAGCAGAGAAGTTTTCTTTGTAGAGGCTACAAGATTAGTTGGTTTCTTCCTTAGAACATGTGAGACATGTTCGTGTCTCTTGTAACCCTAAACCGCTCTGTGATCAGAGTCTATAATTAGGATTGGTTTTCTAGGTGTTTTCCTCTTAAGAAAATGAAAATATTATTGGTAAAGAGAAGCGGATGTATAGGAAGTGTTAACATGTTTTCCATTGGCAAAAAAAGGAAGGAGAGAAAAGGAAAGGGGGGCCGGGCGGAGCCCTAATAGTAAATCAGGAGTAAGACCAAGAATCCTCATCCGAGACATCTTCATCATATTACCCACTTTGGGCTGACAAAATGAACATGCCTTGCTGCCAGACCATATACCACTTACACTGCGTGCTTTTACTTCTTTCCTTGCTATCTCAACTCAAGTTAGTTTTTTGTCTTCCTCTTTCCCCAACCATTATCCCCAATGTGGCCTCTCTTTGTTAACTAGTGTTATTTGTCTTTGTTCTACATCGTCAAACCATCTTGGTTTGTATTTTCTTATTTTTTTTCCGGTTGTTGCAGTAATTAACATCTTACAAAGTTACGAGTTTCTAATTTTGTCCTTTCCTCTCTTACCACAATTTTACCTGCATGTCTGGTCTTATAACTGTTTTATATAAATTTCCAGTTAACTTCTTGTGTATGCTGATTACATAATGCGTTAAAAGTTCTGCATTTATCTGGGGCTGCAACGTGGGCAGCTGGTTTGGGCCAGGGCTCTGCAACAGTTTTTTTTTTGTAAGTACGCAAGCGGCAAGTTCTGACAAAGCCTGACATTACCTGACTGAACTTTACCTTCATCCCAAGCTGATTCTGAGCTCAACTTTATGAGCTCGGGTTAAGCTTGGGTTGCCCCAATAATGTCGAGTTCAGTCAGGTTTGGTGATATTAATTAATTTTTCGGCTATTTTTACCCTCTCACTCACACGGGGAAAGAAAAAAATGATATATCCAGCTGAAAGTTGTATTGAACAATAAGTATTACAAGATAAACATCGAAAGAGTGACAGATGAAAGGTGTTTTGTTCAACCTACTTTCTATCAGAAGGCACACTTCACAGAGAAAAAATACAGAACTCAAAATTAAGATCCCAAAGATAGGCTAACATTACATGGAATCTAATTGATCAAAGAATGTACCATTGAACAAAGAAAATAGAGTGAAGCCAAATGGTCTCATCGAAGTGAAGTAATCGAGAGAGAGAGAGATGAATCAGTAATTGGTGGGTATTGTTGGTTGACGGTTGCTGCTGTATCTCTAGTGTGCCACTGATGTTTGTAGTGGAGTGGCGTGACGGGTTGCTGCGGCTTGGGTATGAGATGGAGTCAAGTGACACTGATTAGTGTTTTATCATTTAGAAGTGATATATAGTCTGATGTTTTATAAACATCTTTTTGAAGACAATTTCGATAGTATAAAAAAACAGATGACAAATTAAACCACTTTTTGTTTAAAATAAAACCTTAATATAAATGTACATATGACTTGGGCCCACTACAATATATACATATGCATGACACAGGGCTTGGGTTGAGTTGGGTTATCCAAGACCTCTACTAAGTGCAACCTGGATTTAAGGATTTCAAGCCCACGCCAGGCTCAAGGTTTACAAGGGCTGCCCAAGTTCAAACCAAATTCATGTTGAGCTTAGGTTTCTCTAATATTACTTCCTATACACTCAATTTTACTCTCTTTTTTTTAATTTTTATTTTTATTTATATATATTTGTAATTTTTTTTTTTTTTTGATAAGTAAAATGTATTAAAAAGCGTTCAAAAGGGGAACGCGTCCCAAGCTATACATAGACAAAACGGAACCTATGAACTCAAAGAGCCCATGAAGTCAACAATATCCTCAAGAGAAGAGTAGTCTCTCCCCCGACCCCAACAAAAAAGAGTACAAATAATAGAAAATTTCAGCACCACAATGGAGGAGTCCTTCCCATCAAAAGATTTTCCATTCCGCTCTTTCCAAAGGCTCCACCAAATGCAAAAAGGGTCACCCTCCAGAAAACTCTCGCCTGAGCCCCCATCCATTGGCCCCTCCAAATATCCAACAACTCCCGAGAGGTTCGAGGCATGACCCAATGAATACCAAACAAGCAAAAAATCATACTCCAACAATCATGAGCCACAGGACAATGCAACAGAAGATGATCCACCGACTCCCCATTAAACTTGCAAAGACAATACCAATTAACAATGATATGCCTTCGCTTCCTCAAGTTGTCCAAAGTCAAAATCTTACTCCAAGCTGCAGTCCACATAAAAAAGGCCACCCTAAGAGGTGCCTTAGACATCCACACCGTCTTCCATGGGAATGTGGTACCATGAAAACCAGATAGGCACACAAAAAAGGACTGGACCTGGAACATCCCCTGAGAAGAAGGCACCCAAACCAAGGAATCTGCACCAATACCCTCCACCTCCTGTCTGTAAAGGAGAGCCAAAAACCCAGTGACATCATCCAACTCCCAATCCTGAAAAGTTCGCCGGAAGCGCACATCCAAGACAACCTTCTGCTATCAAGGCGATAGCATTTAGCAACCATAGCATGTTTGTCAACAGCGATCCTGAAAAGCCTGGGGAACAAAAGAGCCAATTGCCTATCCTTACACCATGAATCCTCCCAAAACCGGACATTCCTTCCATCCCGAACTCTGAATCTAATATGTTTGGAAAAAACATCCCACCCCTTTCCAATGGCCCTCCACACCCCCACTCCACTAGCAGACCTGATTGGTCTAACTGACCACCCTCCTTTCTCCTCCCCAAAGCGACACGAAATAACCCTTCCCCATAATCTGTGTCTTTCACTGCCAAATCTCCAAAGCCACTTGCCAAGAAGAGCACTATTGAAAGGGGCCAATCTCCTAATTCCAAGCCCTCCCAACTGAATAGGCCTGCAAACCTGCTCCCATTTGACAAGATGATACTTGAACTCCTCTCTGCGACCCCCCCAAAGGAAGTTCCGTTGGAGCATCTCAATTCTTCTAACAATAGAGGCTGGAATCTGAAAGAGCGAAAGAAAGTACGTTGTGAGGCTTGACAAAGTACTCTGCACTAATGTAACTTTCCCACCCTTTGACAGATATTGCCTTTTCCAACCAGCTAATCTTCTCTCGACCCGCTCAATCACTGGGTTCCAACTTCCCACCCTCCTGGCCGAGTCCCCCAGCGGTAAACCCAAATACGAGATAGGAAAGCGTTGCGTCCCACACCCTAAAACAGAAGCCAGAGTGTCCACTTCCTGAACCTCCCCCATAGGAACAATCACGCTCTTACCCACATTAACTTTCAAGCCAGAAACAGTTGATTATGGAGCTTTTCTTTGGTCTTTCAATGAAGCATATCTTTGTTGTACTTCCATCAATTAAACTTATTTATTATTAGCAAATACTAGTAGCATACACCATGGAAATCATGTTTTAAGTCAATTTATCCGTGGATATGGCAAAAGGTAAGGGTTTTATACTTGAATTCTGGTGAAACCCCACAGTGGTTGGGAATTCAGTCATTCTTTTGCAGTTATTCTTCTGTTTAACAGTCAGTCACCTCAGTGATTAGGAGTTCTTCCCTCACACAAAGCAGATATGAATTGTTAGAATAAGAATATTGGTTTAGAGTTTCAACCTGCAAATATATTGTAATGTTGTTAGAGGCTCTATTATTACTTATACAATATAGGGTGCTTATGTGTAATTTCTGAAACTTCTTAGTATAAATAGAATGTGGTGGAAGGATGAAAGTATTCTTTCATTCTTTCTCTTTTCCCATCTCTCTTTTTCTCTCCTTTTCCTTCTCTTCTTCTTCATCTTCTTCTACTTTACTCTTGATTTGATCATCTCTTAAAGTCAACAAAACATGGCACAAGTTATATATGTCTCTGATTTTCTGCATTTTTTTATATGTGTATTCAACGATATGTGTGCAAGTTAACTGTTGTTGCTATCACATTATGGTAGGACATTTGAACTGACCCCCATAAAGATGACTAACTTATCAAAATTATTGTTGCCAAAATCAACATTTTTAATTGATTTAAAGCCACCTGGTTTTAATATTTCCTCTAGGTTTTTCTTTCATGTAATTTTGATGATGAATCAAATGCTAAACTCTTGTCTTAAATCATCTGGTCTTCATGTAGATAGCTTGGTGGGTCCCATATTCTGCTGAATCCTGGTCCTCTATTCTTCCCCCGCCCCCCTTTGTAGATAAATCAGACACATACACCCATTATTGTCCCTTCAGGGACTCAAACCCTCAACCTTCCATTTGGGAGGAGGAGATACCACTTGGGGTAAGCCCTTGGTGGTTGCTGATCCTATCCGCATGCCAATTATCTTGGAAATAAGGTTCTAACATGTCTGAGTGATTTGATATTTGCATTTTTTTGGGGGGTGGGGACTTTTGCAACAATACTAGCAAAGCTCCATGCATACTTTATCGACAAGGATTGTTAATTTCGTAAAGTTGTCTTTTGATTTGCTTGACATGAATCCTTGGAAAGAGAATGCAAGTCACCTGAAACCTCTCTATTGCTTGCCTTTACTTCTCCAGAATTCTAACTAAAAAACAAAAAGACATTCTAACTGTTACTTTCTTAAACTTCTTGGTTTTCTACCTGAGCATCTTTATGTTCTCTCAGGCTAATTTGATTAGAACAGCTGCTGTGGACTATTTATTGGATGGTGGAGTTCAATGGGGAGGAGCACCTGCAGTTAAAGTGAGGGATAAGTAAAATCAGATTTTTGTTCTTTTCGACTTTCAGATTCTTCTATGGGAATTTTCTCTTTCAGCTACAATAAAATGCTGATACTCTGCAGGGTGTGCGAGATACAGCTGTGGAGTTACTGCACACACTAGTGGCTGTGCACGCGGAGGTAGTTACTGCATGCCTGAGGGTTTCATCCTTCAAGCATTTATTGTTTTACTTTATATTTATTTCCTGCTTGATCTTGGTTTTTTATTTTTTAAGTTAAGACTTAGCTTAGAAATTTTACAGTGGGTTTATAGTGACGAATTGTCATAAAGTTAGATTTTGGCATAATTTGCGGTGTGGTGAGCTTCCCTTGAAGACGAACTTCTCAGCTTTCTTCAGAATCGCAATGGAGAGGAGCACTGGTCTTGGAATTTTCAATTTTAGAGGTGTGGTTTAGGAACCTTAAATTTTCAGTGCTTTTCAGGATTGGGAGATGTTTTCAATGGATGCTCTTAACCGTAAGGGAAAAAAAAAAATGGATGCTCTTTTTGAGACCCTTTGGAGCTCTTGTGTTTGCAAGGATGGGGAGAACATGCTCAGATGGATTCTAGGAAATCGAGGAGGGTCTCGAAACTGGTCATTCTATAGAGTGCTTTGTGGGGAAGATGGGACTGGATTCCCTCAGAAGTGTATTTGGAAGTTAAAAGTGTCTTCTAAAGTATCTTTGTCTTATCCGTTGCTTTGGAGGATATCATGACCTTGGACAGCTTGGGCAGGAGTGGGAAACTAATCCCTAATTGGTGTTACATGTGTAGAGGTTACGGAGGCCGTCAACTATCTTCTCTTTTAATTGTGTGGTGGTGCAGGATCTGATGGTGTTCTCCTTGTTTGGTGTGAACTGGATTATGTATAGGGAAGTGAAGTACCTTCTGGGCTTCCTGGGGTGAACTTGTTTTAATGCCTGGTAGGCTTGGCAAGCTGCAGCATTGTGCCTCATGTGGCGCATCTGATGGGAACGAAAGGTGCACCATTGAGAATTGTAAAGCTGTGGTCTGTAGGTTGAAGAAAGTCATTTTAGTTATATTTCATTTTTCAATTTTCAGATTTACTGCTGGCTTGTAGATCTTTTGGGTTTGAATTGTATAGATTTTTTGGGTTATTTGAATTTTATAGATGGGGCCTAGTATTTGGTGCCCATACACTTCATGTGTATATGGGTTGCGCCACTCTGGCACTTCCTTTCATGAAACATTTACTTGCATAAAAGAGAGATGAAATTTTATCTGCCATCGGTTTTAAGGGAACTATATTTTTTAGTTCATTTCTTTATAAATCTATGAAAATGAAGCAGTTTCCTTTGTTGTAGGTATTTGCTGGTTGTAAGCCCCTGTTAGACAAGACACTTGGTATTCTTGTGGAAGGTTTAATTGATACCCTCCTCAGCCTTTTCCATGAAAACGAAAGCAAAGATCTTAGGTCATTGGACGCTAATGGTTTCTGTCAACTCATGCTTGAGGTGACTAATATATTCTGCTTTTCTAACTGGAACTGTCTTTTATTTTACTGCTGATGTTTCTGAAAAATTATTCTGCTCTCCTATTGCAGCTGCTAATAATGTCAGAAAATCAGGAAATACCATGAATTTAATGCAAATTCATTTTCCTACGTGAACCATATAGATGATTTGTTTTTATATATTGCATTCTGTTTACTTTGAACTTTATAGTGTTTGAAGATTTTTAAATGGGGAAAAACTGAGAAACAACGAATGTTAATATTCAATGTGAATTGCTGCTAAAAGAAACATTAAACAGGCCACCCTATTCTTTATATTTAGTATTTTTTCTATGATTAGTGTCATGGACATGCAAGGACCGGGATAGATGCCCGGCACAGTTACTTGCTCAGACAGTTAAATATTTGACATGTATCTTCTGCAGCTTGAATATTTCGAGACCATATTGAATCCATATTTCACGCCTGAGGCAAGTGAGTCTCTGAAGTCTTTACAAGGGGTGTTATTGGAGAAAGCCACCGAGAATGTGACAGAGTCTACTGAGACTCCAAGTCACCACCGTCGTCCAACTCGCGGAAGTGAAGATGCACTCTCAGATGACAGACAGCAAGGCATGTCTGTGTCACCAGATGACCTAATCGTAAGAACCCTCTTATTTCATTTCTTTCTGATCAATGAGGATGATTGAATAGGTTAACTGCATTATATTTTGTTATTGTGTGTTTATCAGAATTTTGACGACCGTATTATCATATTTTTTTTCGAGCTTAAACAAAGATTTATAAATTAAGGCATTTTTCAACACATTAGGAGTTGATTTGGTAAGTCTCACATTGTTGAATAATGAAATGGTGAATAAACACAAATATAATCTTGTCATTAGGATTTTTCTGAAGTTAAACCACTAAAGAAGAGGAGCCAGGATTTTACACGATTGTGGTGGGCAATTGATGAGTCAATGAATAAAAAATGTTCCATCTTTTAATAGAAAATAAAGCAAAAGAATACAATAACACATTTTGGATCAGTTAAAGTGATATGATAAGAATCTTTTTCCTAATGACACTAATATTATTCTCGATGAGTGCTTTGAGTGGTTACCCGTCAACAGGGGAAAATCATAGGAAAAAGAAAATGAAAAGAAAGAGACTACTTGAAATTGCTTAGAATAAGAAATTAAAGAAAAACAAGTCATTTAGATTTGTATTATATGAGAGGCTTACCTAGTTGCCTCCATTTTTTTAGTACTGTACAATTGTCCTCAAGTAGTTCCATATTTTTTAAAAAAAGTTATGAAATCACTACATTCACTCTATTACATATTATTTAAGTGTTTATATCTATTCCTTGTCTTTTCAATAGATAAATTACAATTTCATAAATTAAACACTATAATATATGGTCTTGAACCCTCCCTCTCTCCTATCTGTCCTATTTAAGCTTGATTGCACCAAGGGTTGTCCAGTAGTATGTCCTTTGCCTTCCAAAGTGGAAGGTTGATGGTTCAAGTTCTCATATGATCAAGAGGGCATGTGCATTATTTGCCAGGATTAATATACATGTATATATCTTTTGAGCAAAATGTGAACATCAGAAGTAAGAAAATTATCACAACAATAAGTTTGCTAAAATGAGTAATTCTACTCAATAATATGGTGATATATTTGTTGTGCCACGAACAACAAAGCCGAGACAAAGTAACAAAGCTCAGCATGATGATCAAGAGCAACAAAAAAACCTCACAGTAACCAACCATAATCTTGGAAAAGGTAGTAGAAAAAGTAATCTTAATCACAAGTGCAAAAACAAGTCAAACTGAAAAAGTAAATATAATCTGTGGATTGAGTCAATGGGTAATATTAGAAATATAATGAATTATCCTGAAAGTATTTGGTTGTTGGACACATCAGATGACGATTTGATCTTTCTAGCTGCAAAATATTTTTACCTTTGTATCTTCCCGTTTTTGTTTGTTTTTCCCTTTTTGTATTCAAGCTTTTCGGACTGATTCTCTCGTCTATCTGAACCAAAGCAATCCCTCATATTTTTTCCCTCTACGTGGGGGGGGGGGGGGGGGGGGGGGAGAGATATTTAAATTGGTCCAAGACGGGGAAGAAATTTATGTGAGTTTGTAAATTGGAGTCATTGAGTTCACATACAACGGCAGACCTACATGGCGTTGAGTGGGGTCACATGATCCCACTAAAATTTTGAAAAGTTGTTCAAGCCTGTGTGATATGATATTTAAATTGGTCCAAGACGGGAAAGAAATTTATGTGAGTTTGTAAATTGGAGTCATTGAGTTCACATACAAGGGCAGACCTACATGGCGTTGAGTGGGGTCACATGATCCCACTAAAATTTTGAAATGTTGTTCAAGCCTGTGTGATATGATATAAAAATTAGATTTGTTATAGTTGCCACCTCTAAATATTCGTATTTCAGAAATCAATTATGGGGTCAAAAATAATGTTGATGGGTCAAAATAATGGTGAGAAGTATCTCAATGTAAGAAACTAAAATTAAAATCAATTTGGAGTAAAAGTTGTGCTTTTATGAAATCAATCATCTAGTTTTTAATTGGTATTGAACCAATTTCGTAGCTACCACCGGCTGTCTAGCTTATCTTATGTGATGTCTCTTGCTCCTTGGGGAAGGTGCAGATCAATGGATTGACACAGGAATTGGAGTTCTTTTTTTCTCCTTTGTTTTTATTTACTTTTTAATTCAATTTATTTTATTTTTTTAGTGGCTGGGGAGGTGTCCTCTTTTATAGCCCACACTGTTTAAAAAAGAAAGCTTTTGGTTATGATTTTACTTTTAGCAAGTCTGTTTCTCTTTATGATGCTTAGTACTTTTGTTGTGCTGAATTTAAATTAACTCATCAGGGTTTATTCGTTTAGATATATTATTATGTTCTCAATGAAAATAATGCTTGGTTGAAATTTTGCATTGTTTAGTTATATAGTTTAGTAGTGCACTTTTTTTATATATCTAAACTCATCAAAACTGTTCGATTTAGTATTTGTAGAGTAGAAATTAGTCTGGTTTTCTTGATTTCCTCTGATACTCATCCTAAAATAGAATACGAATATTATTGATTTGTCGTTAATCGACCTTGCTCGAAGAAAGTCTAGGCTTCGTCCATGGTAGTTCGCATAAACTTTCTTCTCCAGCTCTAAGAACATGGCAGGACCTTTTTGGTGAATGATAGTAAACTTTCTTTAAAAATATGGCAGAACATTGTGTTGCATATGCTACTTAGATGTGTTCTGTTATAACTTCCCAATTTGTGTGTGTCCTCAGGCTCTTGCCCAGCAGTTCAGCTCCGAGCTACTTCAAGCAGAACTTGAGAGGACTCGGCTCAACGCATCATGCTTTGCGGAGTCAATCCCATTAGACTCGTTCCCAGAATCAGCGAAAGCCGCTTATACTTCTTTTAGAGGATCAATGGATTCTCCTAGCCGGAGTTTCAGAGGCACACAACCTGTTGGATCCCCAGGTTTCTCCCGGCAAAGACGTAGATGAATTAGTTAGCACCCATATTCTTGTTTATTTATTTCCCCCCCCCCCCCCCCCCCCCCCCCATATTGGTTGTGTAATGGTTGTGTTGTAATTCATACAATTTTGTGAAAAGAAATGCACAGTAAGATTTCTTCCCATATTCAATTAATGTTCATATGAGCCTGACACCATTTATATGTTGGCTGTTCACACTTTGTAGCGCATACAAAGACCTTGTAACTTGTAGTTTGGTTTTTATTTTTTAAATCCGGGCTCGGGATTTGGTTTTTTATTGATAATTGATAAAGAAATAGAGAGAAATGTAGAAAGCATTGCAAGAAATTTGTTAACCAATTTTGGTAGATTGAATTAATGAGTTTCTTATGAAGTTTCACTAATAGCATTTATCAAAAGTAATAATAATAATAATAATCGTTTAATAGCATTTTGGTTGTGTTCCTTTTCATATGTATATATTAACCTTTTTCCATTTTTATAATGTCTAAAAAATTTGTGTTGATCTTTAGTGTTCCGAATAGAAGTGCGAAGGTATGTATGACAAATTAGATGTGTTTTATATGTTTATTCTGAGGGTAGAAAAATGTTATTAATGCTTGTTATTCAAAGCATTTATTTTATATTTGGATTTAAATTAAGACTTCATTTCTGCTTCTACAAATTGGTAAAAAATGTGTGGTTTTCTTTTTTTTTTTTTTTTTTCAAGTGTGTTGAAAAACTAAATAAATATCTTTATGCATAGTTTTCCATGTTATATAGTTTATGTCTATTTCAGAGTGAATGACTATGGTTAGTTGCCCATCATCTACTTCTTGGACGTTTTTAAATTCTCAAACCCCAAATAATCCATTATATCATAATCTACATTTTGCACAGACCATTTCTGTCGCATTGCTTCTGTCGTGTAGATTAAAACAACTATTATCATTGAGTAGCATGAAAACTTAACTTGACAGACATTGGGCAGTTTCGACCTCAATGAGATCTAATTTACGTATCCTTTATTCACCTTAAGGAAAAACTATTTTTCCTTCGCTAGGGTGCTCTCCTGCAAGGTCGAACCCTAGAGATGGCAAAATTCCCAAATCTGGCGTGTCTCCGCCCTGCCTCATTTAGGGCGGGTTTGGGGACCCAGGGATGGGGTAGTTTTTGAAAACCTGGCGAGGTGGGCCCGTTTGGAGTGTACATTTACTAAAATACCCTTATATATTATAGTATATTACTAAATTAGATTAAGTATATTTAAACACACTTCTAAAACACACTCAATTGTTCTGAATCTTGGAATTTGAAAATAAGAAAAATTGTGTGTTTAAAAAAATTATAGTGTGTTAATTGGTTATGAGGGCAAGGTGAAATTTTAACGGGGGTGGGGATAGGGATGAAAATATTCACCGGGTATGGGGCTGAGAAAAGAGATCCCCCACCCCACCCCATTGCCATCCCTACCTACTACAGCTGCCCGACGTGCTACAGAGCTCGAGCTCATGCCCTTACTCGAGCCATTACTCTTTGTTGAATGATAAACTTCAAGCATTGTGCTGACACACAAAATTAGCATTAATGATTCTTCCATACATCAATGGCATTAATCCAACAAATTAACAGATTAATAAAATAACTAAGGCAGTTCATCAAGATTCAAGAATTAAGCGTGGAAAGTGAAGGGGAAAAGTCTCCAGAAGTTACACACATCCCAACATCCAGAATAGGGGCCAAGTCACTGAATATTGTAGACAAGAAGTTTGAAGGGTCTGTTAAAGGGTACAATTTGACAACTTCACCAATTACAATGACAGCTTGTTTATCTCAACATTTGGCCAACCAATTAAATAAGTTTCAGAATATTAGTAGATTATACATAATCAATCATCAAGTCTATCACATAACGCTATGTAATCAGATTGAAGTAAATGTAGCAAGAAGCTGAAAATGTTGAGACAAATGATAGAAAGCAGTAATTATATGGCAACAGGTGACTCTTCCTCTCGGAATGCACTCTAAATTTAGTCTTCTAGGTCAAGCTGTCCTAAGTGGAGGAGATACCAGTATCACGCCATCTCCTCTGACAAAGAGAAAAGGAATAGTGCGCCTTGTGGTCTGAAACAGGAAAAAAGAAAGGAGTCAAATAAACAAGATTTTCATTTAAAGTGTTAATGCTAAAAAAGATAAATAGCTACAAAGTAATTCAACCAAATAAGATTCATATATGCCCCTATATGGATGCACGAGTCTCATCTTAATTTGAATCCGCATAGGAAAACATAATAACAATAAAACACGGGGGGAGAGAGGAGGGTCCCCCCCCCCCCCCCCCATACTCGAGCCGTTATTCTCAAGGTATAATTCAATAACTTGAGTATGCCAGAAAACTAAAAACTTACTCACACCAGGTAAAATTTTGGAAAGTAATGGTTATGGGTTTGCTATGTTTGTAAATATACTAAATAAGCAATTTAGCAACAAAGTTGAATCATGTGAACTGATGAATTAGTTCATAAGATGAGGCATTCCTTATTTGTTGCAACGTATGGAGGGGATGTTTCCAACTTACAGTCATGCTGTTGAACTTTAGGACTGTGTTATCATACTGTGTTGGCATCGCTTGGTTGGATGGTACCTTACAATGCTGTCAATGATAGAAAACAGCTATCTAATAATGTCCAAGAACTCTCCGGAACCACACGTATTCTTTGTGTGTGTGAGGAAGTGAACACTGCTCAATCATTTCAGAACAACAAATTAAACTGGAAAACAGCTAGACACTAAGCAGCTCAAGCATCTGATGTTCTGGGGTGAGCTTTAGCTCAGTAGACCTAACAAAGCTGAAATAAGTAAGTTAAGAGCTTTTTTTTTTTTTTTTTTTTCTTCAATAGATGGAAATTAATTAGCGATTAACTCCTCAGTGGTATCTGGTAAGTCATCTCCCAAGAGTCCATCAGTAAACAGTTAGTGTTGAATTTGAGTGCTTAACACTATAATTCAGTTAGTTAAAATATTTCTGCAAAAGGTACTTAATAAAAACATGAAATACGCTTAGGACAATTTAGACACTTTCCGTTTCCGAACTATGTTTCCTTTTTCCCACGGAGACAGGGTGGAGATCAATGGTACGTATGGTAGTTGCAAAACTGTTTTCAAGAGTTGTGTCTACAATCAATCTTTGTACACATTCTCTCCAAACTTTGTACAAATTGCGGATAGATTGTACGGTTTATTTAATCTAAGAAAATTCCATAAAATTTTAAAGTGGTGATATATGGGGAAAAAAGATGTATTTGTATTTAGACTACCATTGCATTGAGTGTGACTCGTGGACTTTTCTCTAAGATGCAATATAAAAAAAAAAGGGTAAACCCAATGCACGAGGCTCCCATCATTACAAGGTCTAAGATGCAATGGTAGAAATGTAATTAACAAAGATGTCACCTTTAATTAATATAGCAAATCTTGATATATAAACAAAAAATATGTAAACTTGGAGCATACCCGAACAATCTCCTCATAAGTTTCATCATCTATCTCTACAGTTGTAACAATTTCTTCAACATCTCCAAGAATCATATTCAAATGCTGATCATAAGCCTGCAGAAAAACATCACTAGAGTGACAAATAGGTATTATAATTGAAAGGAATAATGACAAAAGTTTAACATTGCAAGAATCAATCAGAAGATCAAAATTCTTTTTTGACAAGTCCGAATTATTATAAGGATACAATACCCCACCCTTGGCCAAATTGGTTACTGAAGAGAGATTCAACCGGTGTATTTCAGACACGTGGCATTCACAAACAAGCCAATGGTCGAAAATTTACGATGCATACAAAGGCCACACACTAGTCATATTCGAGTTTCAATTTAAATCCAACTTTAGTGCTTTCATTTTCTATTCTACATTATAGTTTCCTTTGTATTATATCAGTTCTATACACAGTTCTATTATCGTGAAGTTTTATATTTATATTTATATTTTTCAATATCAACATTAGCATTCTAGCTTCACACCTAGGTCTGAATCATAGTTGGACATGTGAGAAGTCCTGGTGAAAGAATAATTCAAGCCAGATAAACAAAGATAGCTGAAATGCAGCATATTATTGACAATCTGTTGTGAGCAGCTCAATTAGTTTAGCAACAGAACATATGGAGGCTCTTATGGAGATTTTGAAAGAAAAAGGGAGTCACGAAGAAAAGGATTTTGGAAGAGAATAATAAAACCTCTTCTACAACATTGGGCAAATATTTAACATCGACCAAAGCGGATTAAACCAGCAATCAGTGCTTAAACTGTCTAAGGTAAGGACGAATTGAAGGAAGAATTTGCTTATTTTCCAAGGAGGTGCCACTTGCTAGTTGAATATTGTTTGGACAGAAATCAATATGATATCCAGGGAAGAAAAAAAAAAACGAGAGCAGTGATAAGATTGAGAAAAATTCATCGGAGTTCCATTATGCATGAGTCACTTATCAAGATGTCTTGGAAGAGATTGTTTAGGAGTTGATGATTTGTTCACGATTGTTGATTGTGAAACCTCATTAGCATCCAACCTAAGAGAGTGAAAACACTTGAATTAAGTTTTGCATGACGATTACTGCAATAAGATTTAATTTAAAAATTGGGTTGTGGGCAAAAGGTGAGGTGGTAATGGTAAAGCAAAACACACTAGAAGTGTAATGGCTAATGAGAGATTCTCCTAAAAGACAAGAACAGAAAATAAGTATGAATCTGTTGATCTACTTAAGCCAATAGTAGTCACAACTTCGTAATCATTAGTTAGGAACAGGTTGGGTAGTGTTCACAAGATTTTGAAGAATTTTGTGCAAGGAAAAGGTCCAGTGTTTCAGTTTAACATCATGCTCTATGTAAGGTACGTGTACATGGTTCTAGGCCCGATTACCTCCGTAATGAGGTTCAAGTTCTAGACCTAGAAGTTGAATACCCTGATTTCGACAATTATGACTTCTATATCCAAAGACACTAGAAACCGTATGTTGCCTACACAGGTTCGTTACCGTCCCAAAAATATGGGGTTTCACTTCACACATCCCACGAGTCCTAGGGTTTCCGGGGCACTAATCAGGTCCATTGTCACAGCAAAGACCAAGTTACAGGTTTGAGTCACATAAAGAATTACTTTGCAGATAGCCACCTAAAGTAGAGTGAGAAACATCTCAAGGGTGAAAAGGGCCACCTACCATCCGATCAAATCTCCCTAGAGTGAGAGATACCAACAAAATGGTCCCAAAGGGTTTATATATGGTGCTTGACCTTATTAGTTGGGGCTTTTGAACCTAACAAGGTTTCCCCAAAACATAAATACCCAAATCGAATCAACAATGTAAACCTAAACCCTAGACCTGAGCAATCAAATACTCGATGCCAATTTGAAATCAATGAGACGTTTCAAAGAGATAGACCAACAACGATGGAATGTGAAAAATAGTAACTTTTATTGAAGAATCAAAATACAATAACGATACCCAATTACAGGTTTGTCTGTGTATATATATATATGAAGAAGAAAAGATTGAGAGTTGAGAAAGACTGTACTGACATGAAGTTTGCCTCGGAGTTCTCGGTCGGATCGGAGCTTGACGTAGATACGCTCGTCGAGGCTAAGTCTGATGAGATCCAAAGGCTCTTTCACTGCAATCTCTTCTTCGCTCGCCATTACTTTATCTGTAACACACTGGGGTTTGAGACCAGCGCAATTTGGCCTTTTGATGGAGAGTATCTAATATAACATATATTAATAAGTTTTACTATATAAAAATCTTTCCTTTTGTCACTTGAAAAAAAGAGTTTGAATCCAAGTATTTATTATTATTATGGCTTTTTGTGCAATGTGATTGTATAATTAATGCATTAAAAATAATTAAGATTCACATCTATTAGTTGACATTGGGGATAAATAGAAATATGCAAATAAAATAGACATTCCCATGCTGAAAAAGAAAATGGCAAGTCAAAAAAACAAGAAAAGAAGAGGGAAACATTGAAGTATTAGTTGTAATTCATTCTTAAAAAGGTTTTTAAGTTTCATTATCTTGGAGTAATAGGTTTGGATTCTTTATATCTATTAATTTAATTCGTAATCCTTCTTATCTTGTTAAAAAAAAAAAAAAAAATTCATTATCTTGTGTGCTAACACTGTAAACAAAGAGGTTTTTATTCTTAGATAGAAATAAGATCTTAAAAGTGAAGCATGCATAATATTTGTATGATTTTTTTTTTTTAAAAAAGAAAAGTTAGGAGAAAGTACTAATGCAGACACGACATTTTGTCCACGCTCTATTTCCTTTGTTTTTCATTATGGGACTAGTTAGAAGGTCCATCAATCAGCACAATTACACCATCCGAAATGTTCCACATCCCCCTAAAGTTAAAATTTTGTCACCTAAAATCATTCTTAGTCGATTTTTCCATTCGATTGAGAAATTACCCCTAAACCAGGTCCAAATCTTTAGGAGTTCCAAAGACTCCAAATCCACCCTAGATGTGAAGTTTCTTCATCTACCAATATTCTAAATCATTCCTACAATAGGATTGTGGAATTGAGTCCAAATAGGGCCTAAATTAGTGTTTTCAGTATTCTAATATCAACTTTGGCCAACCTTCGAAGGTCACGAACCTTCATCAAAATCAATCAAGTAGTTCAAAATATCAATTTGAATAATCCGATTGTACCATTTATATTCAAATTTGTCTACCTGATTGTCCATCTTTCCATATTCAAATACTCAAATTGATATTTTCAATGTAAATTTCAGTTCATTTTACCCAAACCTCCTCAAGTTTTACCCTCGATTGGGTTACTTTTATTGTTAGATCGAATTTGAGCAGTCGTCCTGGATACAAATTTCTAAACTTTTCAATCTTCATCTTGCTGTCACCGAATCATAAATTTGTTGGTTTCATGATGATATTCCCTCAAAATTCTACTCCAATGAAGTTATTTAGGACCCCGAAATACGGACTATGATAAAATAGGATTCAGAAAATCGTCCGAATAAAATCACCAAAATTCATTCAAAATACAAATTTAGAGTCCACTCGGGGTCCTAAATCAACACAAATAACATTAAACAAACCCTCGCTACGCTACTCTGATAATTACTAACTTAAACACGTAATAAACAACCTCAAAAGAAAATCTACGCAACTGTTAATTACAAATCTGTAGAAAATTCATTTTTTTTTTTTAATTTTTTAATCGAAATTGGGCAAACGAAAATAATTTGGAAATTAGACCCAAAGGGTAACGTGAACGAGCACTCCTAGCAACTTAAGCTTTGCCAATGAAATAAGCTTTTAGAAGAAAACAACCGTTATAGTGTGAGTTGAAAATAAACCATTCAGTAAATTCATTTAGAAAATATAGGGAACTAGGAAAATTCCAAAGTTTTTGTTTTCAGAAAGTAGACTCTGAGGGATAAAAACATGGAAGGTTTGATAATTATTCGATGTCAAGAAGTTCATCAAATTAATCACTTACAAATCTATTCCCCAACATTGATAAAATACAGACAACAGGTATTGTTGAATATTCAAAAAATATATATGTTCATCCAAAAAATAACGAAGTTTTGCTAAGTGTTACTAGACCTATGGGAGTACTTGTGGTAAGAATTTGAAGGCATTTGAACCACCACAAATCCTTAAAAAAATATCGTGACAAAGGAAGACTTGAGAGAATTTGAAAAGGAAAAATAGGAAGCAAGTACATGCTCATGTGGAACAATTTCTGATCACGACCCAAAACAATGGCAGTGTTAAAAAAACAGTTCATTAATCACCAAGAGAAATACAGGAAAATCATTAAGATTTGAAATGAGACGATCCACTAAATTCATCATTGTTTAACTCCCTTTCTCTAACAACATACATCTCCAAACTTCAACTGCACATATAACAACCTCAATCACCCAACACTCCTGAACAAGAAGACATATATACATGATTTAATTTAGTTCTCACATACATCGAAGGGAAAATTGTAACTAGCCTCGAATACAGTAAAATCCTCAAAAGAACTTGGAGCACACAATTTATCAAACACTTTGTCTACATAAACCAATTGTCTCCAAATAGGTAATTTAGCAACTTCGAACGCTCCGATTGATCATGGGTACCTGAAAATGTTAGGGTGACACAAGAAGTCACAGCAGGAAAATACTCCAACAAGTGTTGCTAAGAAATGTCATGAACCATCCAAAGAAGCAAGATACAAAGAGTAGAAATATAGGTATATCAACTTCAAGTATGAATATGCACAAGAACACTTCAAATTGAACAACTACTTATTGAGAATCGAAGGAATCAAGTGATATAACAACTCAAAATCAGCCATACACAAGAATTGAATAACAATATTCATGACCATAAAATAGATGCAACATTACCAAAGCTGTTAAATTTATGATGTGGAAAGTATAAGACAGGAAGAAAAAAAGATGGAGAACACATCATATACTTGGTTCGGCACTAAGGCCTACATCCATGGATCAAGAGCCACTTAGGCTACATTTCTCTTATTATTTCTTGATACGTTTACATTGTATTGATACACAATATAAAATTAAGTAGTAAATCAAGGAAGAAAGCAAGGAAACAGAATATAATATATATGTATATATATATATAGTATATTTTAATATTCTCCCGCAAACTCAAGATGGGTTTCTCGAAGCCAACTTGAGTTTGGAGATGAAATCTTGAAAATGGTGGTGGAGCGAAAAGTATCTGAAAGGCTGGAACAACGCCAAGGAAATGGGTTGGAACAAAGCCGAGAAATGGGCTTAAACAACATTGGGAGATATTCGGGTAATCCATTTGAGAAACGAAAAAGATTCAGAATAAAACCAGTAAAAGGCCGGAACTAAGCCAGGGAATAGTAGGAACAAAGCTGAGAAATGCCGAAACAAAGCCGGGGAAGTTGCCGAAACAAAACTAGGGAAGTGGTCGAAACAAAGCCGAGGAAGTGGCCGGAACAAAGCCGGGAAATAGTCGGAACAACGCTTCAGAGTGTTGACTACCATCGGTGAAGGAGGAGCGTGTGGGCTTGTGTACTCAGGAGCGTGCGTCGCTTTAGCGCATGAATCGTAAGTCAGATCTATTTCGCAGGAGTGTCGGCGCGTGACGGTGCGGGACGTCGCTTGGAAGATTTTATTGGTTTTCTCCTTCACTGCTCTCTGCAATCAGTAAAGGAAAGGGGGAAAAAAAAAAAATAACAAACAAACAAACTGTAACGACCTAAATCCACTGGGTCCGGGTCGTTAAACAGATCTTTATTCAACCCAAAATCATCCAAGGGTAATATGGTCCTTTCACGTTAAATTTGTATATTAAAGTCTAATAAGGACAAGATGGTCATTTGTCACAATTTTAATAGTCTAAGACTAAAAGGGCAAAATAGTCATTTACTTGTATCACATAATAAATAAGATAAAGTCCGGGGCAATATAGTCATTCCCATGGTTAAAATATAATTATAGTATATTATTGGACTTTATAATGTGTAACAATACACTTTAGTGAGTGGTCAAGGGCAAAATGGGAAAATAAGTCACAAATGTTTACTACACAGGAACCGGTCGATGTATGGGGAGTCATACGTCAACTGGTTTGGAACGTGCACAGTGGAAAACTCACTGCTAAGATACCGGTTGACGTGTGGGAGGTTATACGTCGACTGGTTAAAGACATGTACAGTGAAAAAGCTACAGCCAAGATATTGGTCGACCGTGTGGGAATTTCACGTCGACTGGTTCAGGTCATGCGGTCAACGTGTGGGAATTTTACGTCGACCGGTTCTGGGTTATCCAAACTCAAAATTTTTCACTGTCTGAGATACACCAACATTGATAACAAATCACCCACGTCACTACGTTCACGTACACATTTAAATACATTTTAACATCTAATACATTAACAACAACAATGTTAACATAATTTACAACACGTTACATAAAATACACTAAATAATTTAGTGTAATTAAACATAATTACATTTTTCCAATGGTCATATACAAAATGTATCTAAATACTTCTCATATTGCAACATAATACATCTTAGTCAACTTTATACAAAATTAAGCCCAAATACCAAAGATAGCAATAAGAGACAATTTCTTACTCTAAGCTAAGGCCGGGGTGGATTGTCTTCCGCTACTTCTTTTTCGTGTCCTGAAAAATGTTAAATAATAAAGGGGTAAGCATAAGCTCTGTAGGAAGTGTCTAAGACACACTTCCTATGACCCCGTGAGTCCACGTATAGAATAGGAAATAAGAGAACGGGATCATATTACACCGGGAATGTATACCATAACCACAACATCTGATATAAACACATATACCACCCAAGTCACAATCATGCCATGTATGCCAATGAAGTGCAATGCTATGCTCATGTCGCTCCCCATTTTTCGAAACATTCCCGTTTCAACTTCCAAACCGTTAGTGTAATCCGACCCAAGGCACCTCCAAGGCGTCACGAATGGAGGGTTGACTAACTATCCACTACCACAAGGCACCTCCAAGGCGTCACATCTAGCCTAGTTAGCTCAACCTTACTCCCTTCTAAACTACACTAACAACACGGACCACTAGGCTCCTCCTAAGCGTCCGGTTTTCGCAACACTTTTTAAAAACAATTTTTCCAAAATCCTTTCACTTGCTTTTAAAACATTTTTCCCTTTTTCCTTTCCCAATGGATGCATGAATGCCTCATGCTTCTAATTGTTA